GAAGTTATGAAAGTACTCATTGCTTATAAAGAAAGTTTTCCCATTTCTTACTCTCTTACCCAGAGGGTAATATTTCAAACTAACGACATTTTTAGGTCGATCTTCAATTTTTGTCACAGACAAAATCAGGTTACAAATAACATAAACAATGACATTAGACGGGTAATCGGTGTGCCAGATATCGTTTGTCTTCTTTAACAGAACATTGGAAAATATCCTTGAAACGGTTTAACAACGTTAATCATGATCAAATTTTTAAGTTTGGCATTTATTTGCTAATACAAATTAAGTTCGATTTTGTGGAAAGCTATAATTTATTGAAGCAATCTGTAAACCTGTTTCTTAACACAGTCAGTGTAATTAATGTTTCTTGCTCATGGAAACAATGATGTACATGATTTAGATTCGCGCGGGCAGTAATATTTAGATCACTTGTTTGAAGCACTTTAACAGTTCACTGTGGGATCAAACGGACTTTGTTGTCAAAAAACTAGACATGAACCAAAATATGCGTTATTAATATGCTACATATCAACGCACTTTGAGTTCCAAAAGGTCTTAATTTGTCAACTGAGTTTTGCTAAAATAACAATTTTCTATCTATCACATACCAAAAGTAGAAATGTGTCCATAGGACACTGGTAAGCTCCACTCCAATTTTTAGTTATGTGTAACACAAATTGAAAATTGCAATTTCTTCAATAAGTCAAGGGCATTAATTTTGACAAAACAATAAATCAACAAGCGAAATCCCATGTGCACAACAACACATGCTGAGCAACATTCCTGTAAAGTTTTATGACTTTAAGCCAAATACTTTTTGAGCTTTTTACGTCAAAAGTTGAAAATTGCAAATAACAAAGCCAATGAAAACGATGTCAAAAAGCATTAAAAAAGGTTGAAGAAAATATATTCTGTAAAACAATTTACTTCTACACATAAAAGTCATGAACACACGATCAGTAAACGTCTTTAAGTAACGATTTTTGAATGTCATCTCGTAAAAAGCCACCATTCTGAAATTTTAGTGAGCTTCACTTGTATGATAAAGCCAATGGGGAGCTATTATTACTGTTAATTCAAATGTGACTAAAACGTGTGCAATAGAAACTGTGCACCAACGGTGTATTTGTTCGGAGTAATAAATTAAATAACACATAGGTTTGAAAGTAACAGCAAAAATATCATTCCTCGTTTAAATACTGTTTCACTTGGCCAACGCCCCTAAAAATTAAAACGAGACTGGATGAAGTATGATATGCATTTGATATTGATTTGTTGGACTCTGGAATTGAACATGAGGCGTCACCGATGAGATTGGGTCCAACCATGATTTCTATCGGAACATCACGTGGTGCAAACTCTGAGCGTTTATTGATTGTAAGGTGTTAAAAAAGGTAATATAAGGATCTTACATCTACTGCCTTGACTGGCGTGGAATGTACAGCTTGTAGGTTCCAGGGCTCCTTACCTCTTGTTCTTGTTGCTATGTCGTTTGGGGGTTGCTTCATTGAACGACGCTTTTCCTACTTGATCTTGTGTATCATATTTTTGATTACGGCTGAAACGAGGCTCTGTCGAGTTTTCGCTTAACAGTTGTATTCCACGAACCGAATATCTACATCCATTGTTAAATTATTTTTCTTGCACATTTAATAATTATATCAAATTATATTAAATAAATACGATAAGAAAAATCTTTTTTTTTGCACGTTTGTAGAATCATTTGATATAAATCTAAATATGATATAAAAGCGTATTCAATTTAATCAATATGGCAGTTGGTGTGAAATACAGCATGCACGTTAATCGTTCACGCACCAAAATCCCTGCAGTTGAGTAAATGCTGAAAAACATCAGAACAAAGATCAACAAGGCAAAAAATCTGGAATAAGTCGGGATTTCTATCTTTAAAATATATATTGTGTGCTTTTTTCAAATTCCATGTTATTTCAGTTGTTTATGATACGCTGGCTTGGTTCCATATTAACGGTCTTATGAACACATCTAGTTTGCACTTTTCATCAGACTCAATCCTACGGAGTCTGCAACATTTTCAATTTTGTTCTTTGTGGTTTTTTTATCTATTTTAGTAATCTTTTATTCTCTTTCAAAGTTACATGTATATCATGTATTTTTAAACCTTTCGTAACCTTTTCAGTACTTCTATATATATTTTGAATACGATTATGTCTACAGGAATTTGATCTCTGTCTTAATTACTTTTACGCATGATATAAACTCCAGATTGATTATATCTGATAAAAGCTATAGAATAACTGTTGCGTGCGCATACAGATTTCTGTTAAAACTTACAGAGCTCTAGCTTGGAAATTAGTTACTAAGCAGTTATCAATTTCTTCACAAATGACCGTCTTCTTATCTCACATAATTTCTTTATTGGTGATGTGAGAAAATTCACCATTAGACTCAAAGGAAGAAAGTTTTTTTGTTTATTTTGGGTCTTACCTCACATCGACACAGTATAGGTCATATCGCGACGTTCCAGCTTTACTGGTGGAGGAAGACTTCGGGTGCCCTTCCGTGCATTATTTCAGGCACGAACGGGCACCTGAGTAGAACCACCGACGTTCCTTAAGCTAGCTGGATAGCTTCCTCACATGAAAGAATCTTAAGTCCCTGTCGGGATCCGAACCCACAGCGGTGAGGGGCAAGTGGTTTGAAGTCAACGACCTTAACCATTCGGCCACGGACGCCCGGAAGAAAGAAACTATCAAGAAGAAATTTCTCCACGCCCGAAGATGGTACCAGCAACCCCTTGGTAATACATTCGATGCCCTTCTAATGAACTATGCTATGATAAGTTATAATTATTGAGTATAATATTATATTTTGTTTGTACACAAATCTCGAGAAGGGTGATCTTTCGGAAGTAATGAAAACAACAATATTTTATTCAAAATGCTTACTCGGTTTGAATGAATCTGTTCATGAGAGATCATATAAGAGTGCAACATATATCAATCCCGCTAGAACCGGCATAAGAGGTATCCAATCTGCATCTCTAATTTGCTGGAATAATATATTTTCTATGTATCCATTACCTTTCTTCAATGTTGTTTCAATTTTTCGCCTTTCTTTTCACAAGGAATAAGTTTTGCTTTTGACTCAAAATATAAAAAAAAATTAATGTAAAATTATTGTTAAGAATCAGAAGTTCTTGGAAAAGAATGCAGTTTTTGTCTTAATGGTCTAGTAGAAACTATGTTCAAGAAGTGTATGTACATGTTACATAAAATTTCGACAATTTAACAATTCAATTAAGAAGAAAAGCAAATTTGAATAGGTTTGTATTCCCTTTTAGGACTTTCTTATTCTTCTTTAGTACATCAAGGTTTCCGCAAATTGTGATATTCGGTTGTACGATATCCACAATTGTCTTTTCAAGTGACTTTTATTAGCATGCATTTTAATAATAAGTTTCTCTTTAATTCTAATTAATATTTTAATTTCAACAATTGCTGTGGAAACTGAGTGTTAAATATAATTTCTTTGACTTCTCATAAAAGTCATATGTTATAAGTCGTTTTGGTCTAGATCTTTTAGTACAAAGAGTTCGCGATAAAAGTATACTTTAGTGTCATACATCACTGCGACTTTGTAATAAAAATGTTTACATAATCCCGAGGGAATTCAAAATCTGATATCTTAATATGTTAATTATAATGCCCTACTTTAAAAAAAGGGGAAACATTTTATGCGATAATATTTTCTATAATCACTCATGGAAATGTCAACGGCATTATACTTTTGAATTAATGCATATTATTAGAAATTTGATATCTCTTCATTACATAATCAGATCAAGTGCTAAAATAACCTTTAGCTAAAAAGATATTCACTGCCGGGAACCAGACCAACTATAATTTAAACACGTGTTTCTCTTTTATTTTTCAGTCAAAAGCATTCATAATCATAAGCGGTTGCATGTTAAATGTTATAATGTTAAGTGTTAAATTGAAGTTTCTGAGTTACATAGTCCTATTTCGTCATTCCCGGGAGAATCAATGTTTAACTTAGTGATTTCTGGTCACGCTATCTAACTCACTATGAAAAAAAAGTTATTGCAGATTTATTTTCACTCTTAGCTAAAAAATGTTTCCATTACAATAGCATTTTTAAATCAACTGCACCTTTTCAGTATAAATGAAAAAAGTGCTAGTAGAATATAGTATCAATAATTACTAGTACAATCTACATTTTTTTTAATTTTATTTATTTATTTTTTGAAATGATACCGTTCTCATTAATGAATGATTATTTTGTTGATCCGAAACTAAATCAAACAAAAACTATTTTATACAGGCTTGACCCAATCTGTGAATGTATCTAATTCGACTGCTGTTGTACAATGTAATTAAAGCCAGCTTATCAATACAATACAATACAATACTCTTTATTGACATGGTATCAACATGACGATTTATCTAAAATATTAACAATATGTGGGTTAGATCATATATTAGTTAGCTAGTTATGAATTTAAGATAAATGGGCATAGTGTTAAGCATAATAATGTATTATCTTGTATTTGTATTTTACTCAAGTAGATTTTGAATGACCTAGATTTACGAGCACCGAATGTGATCATTTTAGAAAGAATCTACGAGAATTTACAATCAATCGTTTTCTGATCATTTTCTCGTATTTTGAAGATTATATTTTACTTTAGAATAAAAACCATGTGATTTATAATGATGTAGTTAAGGATTTAAACCTTGTCATCGCGGTTTGAATAAAAAAGATTCAGTGATTAAGATAGCAAAACGTAAACAAATAAGCATTTTTCTGCCATTTAAAGATCCATAAGCGTTCACCCATACCATTTTATCATAAAAACGCTATCAGCCCTAAAAATCCTCAGTCAAAGTGTATACGCTATAATTAGAACATAGACAAACGTCTGCAAGAAGAAAATGCAAAAAAGTAACAAAAAAAGGGCTCAAAGTTTTGCATAAAATCATCGCCGAACATTTTTACGAATAATCCCGAGTTATGATCGGATTCTGTCGGCTCGTTCTCATTTGCATAATTTATGCAAGTTATCCCAAAATGCAGCGCGACTTAAATCAACAACAACATTGATGTCAACTGACAAAAATCACATGTTAACTACGCTATGTCTTCGTCTTCTTCGGTAAGTAAATAATTGTTTGATTCTATGTGGTCATTATTGTTTCAATTGTATTATATATTTTGATATTGTCTATATTTATATATCTTGATATTATACCCAAAGAGACGGCGGTTTCGAGGAATGATGTCAAGTTCGGATGCGAAAGTTTTGGACAGAATGTTACGATCGATGATCGTTTGATCGTTTGACTTTTCATTCTCTGGCTAAATAAGTTGTTTCATACAAAAATGTTACATTAAAATGTTGTTTTTATTTTATCAAAATATTTTTTTATCTGTTGATGCTTATCACAGACTACCAATATAAATTTTACCTTTTTTTCAACAGTGGCTTGCTACCTTTTCAAAGTATTGATATTTAATGTAGCCGTTTATTTGTAATGCGATGGTGGTATAATTTATTGAACCTATCAATCTTCCTATATCTTCCGATCAAAAGCTGTAGTTTTACCGCATGAGTGCAATTATCATGAATTTAAAAAAAAACACAAAAAAAACAAAAACAAAAAAAACACGAACCTGATTTATTGGTACCTGTCATTAACATACATTATAGCATTTGACAGTAGTTGAAATTTTTCATATCATTTCATGTAAACATTATACTTAATAAACTATTCCATAAATGCACAAGTGAAAAACATGACTATGTATAGAAGCTGGGTTGATTCGTACACAACACATATATGCATGTATTGACACATTTGCCATGCCAAGAATGGTCATAATAATCACGGTAAATCACCCCTTGACCATCTAGAACAAAATTACTTTCCAGCACCTGTTGACTACCTGTGGTGCAGTAGTAAGTCACTGAAGTGTAATATTAGTGGTTGCTAGCTTGATTGCCTGCTCCTCAACTAACAGTACTTTGTGGTCTTTAAGGCAAAACCTTAAAAGCTAGGTGTAATTTATTAAATTGATGCTCTGCACCAGGCATTGAATCCACTAGGCTGGTTGGACTACCAGATTGGAATATTCACTAGCCCAAAAGACATTTCACTAGCACAATTCATTTGTTCAAAACAGTTGTTTATATTGCCTCTGAAAATATGTATAGCCTGGTTGGGCTTGTTACTGTGCAAAGTTGGTAACCCGGTGAGAAATTTAGTAGTCAGGGGCTAATGGACTAATGCTAATTGCGAACACTGGAGTTTAGTTAGTTTAATGGTCAAGCTTACCCCTAATAGTATTCTTGAACAATATTTTTTTGCAATTGATTCATTTTTCTTGGTGCCTTGCAGGGGAAGTGCTATCATAGATCTAATTCTTTACATTTGTTTTTCAGAGCAACACAGATGTTTCTATTACTTCAGGAATGTCACACTCACCAGAGTTGCCTCCGAGAGGTAGGGGGAGAGGAAATAGGGGTGCACGAGGAGTTGGAGGACGAAGCCAAGGAGGAGCACGAGGTCGTGGCAGAGGTAGGGGAAGAGGAAGGGGAAGAGGAACCACTGTACAGGTTGAGTCTGATGTCCCAGTAGGTGCAAGCAGACAAGATCAGCAGCAGATTTTGATGGTAAATTGCTCTTCTGCTGAGTTTTTTTTTATCATATTCACCAGTGTTTTGAAATATTTTAGGTCTGTTGTGACATTGGCCATAATCAAAAAGTATCAAAAGTTTTTAGAAGTGTATGTCAGCCTCTTGCTTTGTTATATGTACTTTTACTGCATGTGTAAATGACAACTATAATCAGTTAACTTGTGGAGAATTATCGATTATCCATAAAAGTTCATCTTAGTATATCACAGCTGTACATGTAGTAAAATTATAGATTTACCACAATAATCAATGTTTGTTTTACTTTCATATGATTTTTTCACAGGATGAGATTCGTGCGATGACGAGGGAAGAATTGGAGGATCTTCTTCTGAATACTGTGCAAATAAATCCAGGCCTCATGTTTTTTGTTATGAGGCCAGGTGTGGTACCAGAAGGGGGCTTTCACCCACCAGGAGGACAGCCGACACCGCCTTGGTGCAGCTGTCAAAAATGTCGTGACATGCCAACTGCAGTCGAGCGTGTATGCTGTGGCAAAAGAATTTGTGTCACTCAAACTCCAGTAAGTTATATACATTTGATTTCATTTAAAAAAAGTTGTTGATAATAATAATACACACATATGTAACTTCTGCTAGTTATTATAAAATCAAATACTTTTTTAATAGTCAGTTACAAAATTTATTGTTTTTTAAAAGCATTTTGTTTGTGAATAAGATGCTATGTTCTTGGCTTTATCGTACAATAATTTCAAACTTATATATTTTTTACTTGTAACCCTTTATGCATTCTGCTAATGCTATTGTGTTTATTTCAGCAATTTGATACATTGGTGCTAGACGAGCGTGTTCTGTCGCTTGCTCGCATGATGCGAAGGGACATACTTGTGTTCCCCGATGAACAGCTTGGTGAAGGGGAAGACGATTATAATGCTGCCAACCGCTACTACGCCTACACCAACTACACATTGTGGAAGCATGGACGTTTGGGTGCTGGTGTTAGAATACCTCTGCCAGCCTGTGCTGTTTGGAGAATCCGTGATAAGTTTCCCCATCCATATGGGCAGTACACGGGCTTTAAACCCTCAAGAGTTTAGAAATTAGAATAATGTTTTATGTATACTAGTAACCTTGCTCTCATGATTAACATTTTGGTAATATATGCTTAATGACTATAATATTATATACATGTAGTTTGAGTAATTGTCTTTACTTTCTGCTCTTGCAAGAAATGATAAAAAAAGTTAATTTATAAGCTTGCAATATATATACAGTCAGCTAGAATAAAATATGCCAGTATTAGCAATAAATCACATATTTAGAACCACAATGACTATTCATAATATGAGCCGTGTCATGACAAAACCAACATAATGGGTTTGCGACCAGCATGGATCCAGACCAGCCTGCGCATCCACGCAGTCTGATCAGGATCCATGCTGTTTGCTTTCAAACCCTGTAACAAGTAGAGAAACTGATAGCGAACAGCATGGATCCTGATCAGGTTGCGCCGATGCGCAGGCTGGTCTGGATCCATGCTGGTCGCAAAGCCACTGTGTTGGTTTTGTCGTGACGCGGCTCATTATTATGTTGATTCCTTTTCTACTCTGTGATATTGATTTTGATATAAGAGAAACCAAAAGATCATTAAAGAACCATTTAATGGGTCCAGCTTACTTATAATGAAACATACACAGGATAGAGTGTTAAATTAAAAGTCATGATATACATTCAAATGCTTTCATCTTCTGATTATACTGATGTAAGTTTTAATTATAAATCAAGATATACCTTTGTTAAATAATCTCTATTCAAGAGACTTATTACATACGATATGCTCACATGTCATCATAGACATATGGTGTCATATGTGACATCAGTTATCCTTATGTCAGTCAAAAGGGTTTCCTAATTTTAAAATCATTATGAATGTATTCATTGTCAAATGCAAAGGCTTAAAAGATTATACATCTACACCAAAAATAAAAGGCTTTTAAAAAATATATAAAGAATAATAGCATTTTAATAATTGACCTTTTACATTCACGTGATTTCTAATGTCATCAATAAAACAGCGTATTATCAAACAAAAATGTTATTTGTATAAGTCGAAGTTATTTTAAATATTTTATGTATTGTTAATAGTAACCATATCTAAGTGTCTTAAAATTACAAATCAATCAATCATTAACATCTTCTGTCAAAATATTTTGCATGTCTTTAAATGTCCCTTGTTAATTTAGACTATTTTCAACATCACCACATGTAGGTCACAATTGTTCCCTTAGACTTCAGTTCCCTTTAAGTATATATATTTACTAAAACTTGTATAAAATTTTCGGTTAGTAAAAAATCTTAATATAAAAAAAAATGTTTCGGCCTACTAGTATGTCCAATTTTTTATTTTTTTTTAATAAGAAATTAACTGCTTTCAAAATAAACTGTTGATCCACCACATCAAGGACCTCTATAGTTTTCAAAACAATATATATTGAGAAGACAAAAATCTTCATATTAAAGCAACATGCTTCCAGATTTATGCATATTTTCATTAAAATTTTGAAAATGTTCTTAAAAGTATAATGTTTTTAAAAGTATAATGTTGTATAGTAACAAAAAGGAAGCAATTTACAACCCACGATTATTGCAAAAGAGGTCAAAATGTGCAAAAATTGTCCTTACTGCGTTAGTAACGCAGTAGAAATACAGTTAAACACAATGAAAAATTAACAATTAATCTCTTGCAACATGTAAATTATAACTTGAATCTTTCCACTTTTCCTTAAACCTTCGTAAGTTGTTCTCAAGTTTGACTGTTGTGATATTTTTGCTCATCTGGGGGAATGCTGCTTTAAAGAAGCTTGCAAGTTTATAACAATATTGAACTTACGCCTAAATTACATTTTTGTACAATTTATTTTTCTAATTACAATAACTTCCTGCAAGTACATATTTCTTATATAAAAATCCATCAAACCAATTTCTTAAAAAGCCCAGTATGCCTAAGAAATGCTATCAATTTCATTTCTTAAAAAAAATTTATATTTTGGTATCCTCATTACAGTTTCCAAATCTATACTCAGTCCCTTTCAATATAGTTACATTAACCAACTTTGCTACATTTACACTGTCACCAACGGTATAAATATTGTGAATAAGTATTGTGTAAGGAAGTCAAAATACCACAATATTTACACTGTGCTATGTTAGGCCACATGTGTCACAAATCACATTCGTCACAAGTTTTTATGAATTTGTGACGAATGTGATCACATTCGTCACAAATGACTTTTGTGACGAATGTGATTGACCAAAATCGGGTAAAAATGCCAATCACAAACGTCACAAGCAAAATTGAGAATTTTTAAACAGGCGAATCACAAATGTCACAAGTTTATTTTTCAATATGTGATACACGGAAGAAGGGAAGAAAAGCTACAAATGTTAAGTCAAAATATAGAAAGACTAAGAAAACTTCAGACGCAAATTCCAATGATTTGTCTGAAAATGTTAAGGTTTTGAAAAACCAGATTTTCAGTCAAAGGCAAGAAATGCGTAAGAGACGACAAAATTTTCCATTTTTTCATTTACCTTTACACATACAGGCAAAAATAATCAGCATGTGTTTATTTGGCGATCCCTCGTTTAGATATGTTCTTGAGCATGCCGGCAGCCGTTTTCGTAGACTATTTCAAGACATTGGCTTAGAAAAACCACAACTACACATAGGACCTTCGGTATTGGAGAGCGTACCTAATGTAGTAAGTGTTCGTCTGCTCTCTCGAAAAGCTGGTCGAGGAAGCGGACTTTTAATGGAAATCCGACGAATAATAAATAACAAAAGATGGTTCAATGCGTGGTTGCGATTAAAAATATCTGGAATAGGTTGGTATGAAATCGTCGACATATTTTACCGTTAAAGCAACAACTTACAAAGACCTCGCCAAATAAACACTTGTCTTGATTAAGAATGATGGCTTATTGAAAGAAACTTTATTGAGATACACGGACATATTTTTTTGTTTTTCTATAGTTATCTAGAACATATAATTGTGTCGTGCCACGCAAAAACCAAACTTTGTTGACTTTCGCTGGACATGACTCAATAATGATTTACTTTTGAAATATTGCTGAAGTAAAATAAAATGCCAGTTTTATTTTGTGTTATTTTCTTAATAAATGTTAGAATTAGATCCTCACAAAAATGGCCGATTTAAAATATTACGCACTTTTCACAAATTAGTAAAAAACATGACTATAACCGAAGATAAATTGAAGCTCATGTATGCAAAGGTGGAAAATCGAACTTTATTAATTTTGATGTCAAACATGTTAAAATAAATTTCGGAAATAGATGCAGTACGCAATTTTGAGACACTTTAATGTATGGAATAATGACGGGGAGTTGTGTCGTGAAGTCCATAAAGAAGGATAAAAAGTTGGCCGCTTTCTATTGAACAAAATCTATTAATGATATTCAGTCTTTTCATATACTGCACCTTGGTTTTAATGTGTTGGTTGATCACGCGGGAAGCTAGAACTACTAGTAAGCCAAGACAGAAAAAACCTATATAAGGAGCGAGTGAAGCTGTTTTAGTATTCATTCTATTTTTACGATGTTCCGTTTCAAACAAAAGTATTTTAGTTCGACTTTTCCAAGAAAAGGAGAGCTTACCTACTCATTGTCGTTAATATAAGCTAAACGGAATGTTCAGATTTATTTTTCGTTTCACTTGTTTCTCCACAACTGAAGCTGTTCACTTAAAACTTCACATATGTGTATGAGGTGAACGTGAAAGGTCACATCCCAAGTTCCATAACTCTGTCATGTATTTTGACTGAATAGTGTCTCTTTTTCGACTTAGAAAGTCAGTGTTTAGTTTTTGCGTGTAACTTTTATCTCTACAACAACAGAAGATATTGACTTGAAGTCACACACCAAGATTCATAATCTTCCATTTTGACTGAATTATTTCCCTTGTTCTGCGTTTAGTTTTTCTTGTAACTAGTACAACCACAAAAGATATTAACACATGTGTTCGGGATGAAAATGTTAGCTAACATACCAATACCCATAACATTACCCAATTTTTCCAATTATTAACCTCTGTGTTGAGTTTTTTCTGTAACTAGTATCTAAAGATATTCACATGAAACTCGGTATTATGTGTCTCGTATTTGGATGTTATAACACGAAAAAACATGCGTTATCCCTATATTGAAAATGAAAAGCAAAACATAAATTAGCAATAAAAAGGTTATAGAACAGGTCTGGTGTGCCTAAATGCGATTTATCACATGTTTGACGTCGCGGGAGTGTAATAAAGCCATTACATATTTTCCATATTACTTAGAGGTTATTATACAGGGCAAGTGTGCCTGAAGGAAGATATCGGCACACTTGGTTAGGTATTGGCCCGAGGGCTTTAGCCCGAGGGCCAATGCGGACCAAGTGTGCCGATATCTTCCTTCAGGCACACTTGCCCTGTATCATAACCTTTTTATTGCATATGTAGACACTCAATTATGTTATTCTTCTAAACAAAGTTTAATGTTTTATCTCCATACTGTTTTCTAACAAATCGTGTCTATTTTCTTCACATTTTCCGTTCGCCACAAACATTTGTATTTTAAATATCTGCTCATTAAATTTCTATAAAATCATATAAAAATGTGCAGAAATTTAATCTTTATCTATCCTGTTGCGTGTTATGCTGATAAGTTAACTATAAGTTATATCTTGAGCGCTCCAACGTCAAAACTTGTTTACGTCAACCGGACGTGACGTCATGATATGGATTTTTGGCACACTAGCAAGTGTGCCGATATCTGGCACACTTGCTCAATGCATGCTTATATCGGCACTCTTTGGGCAATATCAGCACACTTCCTTAGCATTTTTGTTACACAGAGGCTCGCATAATATAATTTTATTCAACTCGTGCAATAAATTCAGTATTGAACTTACACTCATTCGTTACACAACTCGTGCAATAAATTCAGTATTGAACTTACACTCATTCAATATCCTCTATATAATATCGTTTTGACGTCGACGTCATTTAACGTTAGCGGACGTCGCTTGATTTTACCGCGTTTATAAGGCAAAATAACAACAATTTTTCGGTTTATCGGCTCCAAAATTTAACCTGTGATATGAATAAAATAATAAAATGCTCGGCAGAGCCTCGCAATTTATTATTTTATCCAACTCGTTTAATAAATTCAATATGAAAAGACACTCATGTAATATCCTCTATATTGGCCTACGAGACCGCTAAAGCCCTCGGGCCAATACCTCTTCTTGGCCAATATTGCATTCAGACACACTAGACCTGTGTAATAACTATAAATACGCAACGGCAAACACTATAAATAGAAAAAAAATGTGAATTTAAACGTATATGAGTTTTGTCCATGTAATATGACTGTGGTCAGGTGACGTGATGCGCCAAATATCGATATCGGTCCGACTTCCGGTTGGGCCGATATCGATTTCCCACTTCGGGTTGCTAAAAAAAACGCGGAAAGATTGACAATTTTATAAGAAAAAATACGTTTTAACTGAAATATATCTTGATAAAAAAGCAAAATTGAAGAAACACTTGAAAAACAATCTCCAAACAGTTAAATAACGCCAAAATATATTAAAAACAAATGTTTGTGAGGAAATGACGTCAACGTCATTAGACGACGTCAAAAGTCCCTCGCTTTTTAAAATAAATTATACATTGTCGCTGAACAATGTTTTCAAACGATTTTTTTAATTCTATAATGAAAAACCAAAACATAAATGAGCACATGCAATAAAAAGGTTATAGAACAGGTCTGGTGTGCCTTAATGCGATATGGGTCTACAAGATCGGTATTAGCCCTCGGGCTCTTTTAGTGGGCCAAAATCGAATAAAGGCACATCAGACCTCTGTAATAACCTATAAATATATCCCGCCTCTAAACCAATGAAAATTCGTGAACTTTATTAGCAGTATTATAATTGCGGCTAGTATTGTGCAATGTGAGTTTGCTTTTAGTCTTCTTGGAATCCATGTTGTTATTCATTACTTTATATTCTAGCATAAAACTGCCGTTATAACCATGATTTCGGGGTGTTTTAACAGGACCAAAAAGGTCTTTTAACAAGGAGATTCTAGCGCTCATGCGCTGTTAAAACACCTTTTTGATATACGTTTTCCGTGGCACAGCGTCAATACATTGTGGCCCGGACGCTGCTTAACTAAAACGGAAATGACGTCACGGTCACATACAACGCTGACGTTCCCGTGCAATCCGAGGAAAATCAGTGATGTTGCTTGATTGTGTATGGATTGTGTTAGATTTATGCATGCTTTATGCTAGAATAGCGTTAACGAATGATTGTTCCGTGTCATAACAACTGCTGAAACCCTCGGGATACGTTGGGTCGGGTACCAACTAATCCCTTGGGTTTCTACAGATATTTTAACACGAAAAAAGAAACATGCGTTATTCCTATATTATATCAGAGTTCTTTAGTACTGACGGCTCATCTAGGGTTCAATATGGCGCGGTTCATATAGTTATTTTACCAGTAATATCTATAAAGGAAAGGGTTAAATGAGAATCATGAAGGAAGTTGAATAAATAAACTTAAAGAAAACTTAACATTTCTTGTAGAATATGATTGGTCTTGCGAAGCTATAATTACACGAGGTCATTCAAATATCTAGCAAGCAAATTCGCTGAATTAATGTTTACCGCCGACAGCATCATATACTGATTGAAAATTAAACAATTGCAGGATACATTTCGAATAAAGACTCCGGGGAAATAGTCGGTTTAAAGCATAAATTATCAGGGCCCATATCACTCAAGGTCACGGCGATAATGCACATGCCCTTTTGTATTGAAGGTTCCCACACAATTAAAATTAGATATATTTAACATTTGAAGACATGAAATACTTAAGTTATCTGACTGAATATTAAGCAACCAGGGGTCTTAACTTCGGGTAAGTGCCGTCAATATACACATCTCCGCTTGGTATTAAATGTACCCACATAGTTTTGTTTAAATTATTCAGCAGATTTTGTTGAAGAATAGGGTTGAATTAATGCTTTTCTATGAACAATAAATGATAATAAATTATGGATCATAACTCTGTATTAAACGGCCAAACGGAAAATACTGATGATGATGATGATGATGATATGCACATCTTGTTTGTTTGTTTATGTGTTTATCTAAAGTCGCCGCCGGAAAGCCCATATAAGCGACCGTACCCTCAAGTCGGACCAAAATCCTTTAGTGTCCCGTCGAGATTTTTCGAGATGCGCATCTCCTCTTTATATTAAACTAAATTTCGTTGAAATTCCTAGAGCGCAGAAAAGCAATAGTTCTATATACAGTGTTTTATAAATAACAACAACAACAAGGGCAATAAAGTCTGTTTTTAAAAAGAAATGGAGATATGCTGGTTATATGTGCAACTGGTTTGTGAATGAAGGTTCCTACAAAGTTGCAGCATCGATATCCATCCAGAAGTTGCTGAAAAATAGCGTGGAAACGAAATGATTCCATATACAGTGTATAATAACTAATCAATGGCCGGATAGTGCGGAAACTAAATCTGGACTGACAGGCGGACGAACACGCTAAAACAGTCCCATCACTCCCCGATTTCATCAGCGGGGAGGGGATAAAAAATGTCTGTAGTTTTAGTTCCAATAATTGATTTCAGTCCTAAAAATTTGTGACGTTTGTGACTCAGTGAAAAGCATTGAAGAAAACAATATTTATCTCAAATTTGTGACATTTGTGATTTTAAACTCGTGACGAATGTGATTGTCTAAAACATTGGATCACATGCATCACAAAATTTGTGACGAATGTGATCTCATTCTTCACAATTGTGACGAATGTGATTTGTGACACATGTGGCCTTACAGTGCTACCTTTACGACCCATTACTGCACGTTCGATCTTTCTGTCTTGCAAGCCACTTCTTATTTACATGTATTTACATTATAAAACACATGTTTGATATTTCTTTAAAAAAAATGAGAGACAAGATGTGCCTTTAAGTATATCAATGTGATGTCTGAAAATTAAGAGAACTACTTCATTTGTATACTAGTATTTATTGGGTTTTCACTAGCTTTAAAGTGACATTTTGTCCATCTAAGTGTACACGATAAGTGCACAGTTAATAGTCAAAATTACTTTACATTTTGCCATGATTATGTCCACTTTAATATTTTACTATAATAATCTCAATAATCTACGTGACCCACATGCACGGGCATTTCTATTAATCCATCCAAAACGTTTCAGCAACATTCATTTAAAAAAAGAGTGGGTCATTTTATATTTTAGGTGGATTTCATACTTTATCTTACTAATCATTTTCTTTTTATCCATTATTTGTCAATCACCATTATAAAAGAGAATCTGTCATTTTAAAATTGAAAGTTATTTAAGTTACCTTACACATTTGTTTTTAAATATTTTGGCCAATCACCATTAAAACAATGAATCTATTTGAAATATACCACTACCTGATTTCAATCAGCATAATGTTACTTTTAATCAGTTTGACCATGAACTTATAGAAGCACCTTTTTAGTTTACAGATTCTTATCAACAACGTCACAACCTTTACACTCCTTGACAATACGGATTTTATTTCTGTTATGATTTTGAGTACAGAACAATATGATAAACATACAATTAATGAGACACATTATCATGATTCAATTAAAACGACAAAAACCTTGAGCATTTCGGTGTACGCAATCCTGTTAACACGTTATGAAATTACTGTAACAAAAATAATTACAAACACCCTCGTAAAATTATATGTATAAAACGTATATTAGAAATGCTGTGTGAGTTGTCTTGAAAAAGATAAAACTACATGTAAGTTAGTCTTTAACTATATATATTATATAGAATTAAGATAATGAATATATATAATTATAATACTTAAAAAAAGTTGCTTTTGTAAGCATGCACCATGTGTATTATTTATTTACAATGAAGACAAAGCATTTTGTTACAATAATACATAAAAAATAACCTTTGAATAAGTCGTCTTAGATCAGAGCAAGAAATTGAGTGCAGAAATCGAGTCTGAAATTTTCAAATATTTTTTTTGTGATAAATGCTTCCGAGGGATCACTTTGTTTCCAGATTTTTATACTTCACAACAGCAGTTCCAAGAGACGTGTGGCTGCTGCAAAAGTTGCCCCGCACTTCACTTATATATTGTTTTATTTTTCTGTTCCTTTGGGATCATTTATTCCAGCACTATTAAAAGTTGGGAATTGAATACCAATCAAGCCGGTGCTTGGGAGTGTGAGGGATGTTGCAATTATTAATTATCCCTCATGTACAGACTCAATCAAACTGAGTCGGCAATTTTCATGTAATTTTGTTCTGATTACTTTGTTTCCAGATTTTTTGTTTGTTCATACAAAATAAAAATATTTTTAACAAATTTTAAAAGTAACTTAAGCTTTGTCATCTATTATATAGGGTACTGATTGAATTGACAGGAGAATTTCGCCTCAACATTACTTTTATATCACCCATGGTGCTTGCCAGCATACCGATGAATTACAAAGCGAATTTAAAATATTGCAGTTATTTTTTTAAAGAAAATTGAAGAAAGAAAATAAATAATTTAATATCGAACTTTTCTCTTACACTACAAATGCTCTATACGTTCACCAATAGAACGCCAAATACTAATTATTCGTTTGCATGCAGTGATAGTTCATTTCAAGGAAACTAATTGTGCTGTTAAATAATACTGTGTAACACTGAACTTTGCATATAACCGAATTAAACTGGTTGAAGACAAAACAATTTTGCATTGTCATGACAACCAAGAAAAACGTGCAACACTCATGAATAACAAACTGACATAGTTACAGAAGTACAAAAAATGTACATGATAATAAAAAAGAACATAACAACAGTCACTAATGTGATAATGACGCAAGAAAGTGCACAAGAACATAGGGAAGGTGAAATATTGATATAGAAGGTTAGCATCATCGTAACACACAAGCTGAACTCATTAACGCAGTAACAGTATCATATTATAGTAATACAATGTTTTCAGAAAGAAGATCCGTCACTTTGTTAAAAAAAAAAACTATAAAAAAGATGATTCCTCGTAAGCATTACAACAAATCTACATGAAAATTGTAGACTAGGTAGATAAGTAGTAAGATAGGTACATAAGTAGTTGCTGATGTGTGCTATGTACATAAGTAGTTGCTGATGTGTGCTATGTACATGTTAACTCATGCCACTCAATTATATCCATTGCTTCTAAATCAAATTCCTTGTAACTCAGAGATATTCATTGCTAATCAAACATATTCATGGTAACTCAAACATATTCATTGCTGCTAATACAAATTCATTGCAACCCTAACATATTCATGGCAACATTAACGTATTCATTGCTAATTAAAAGCCATTAATGCCTCAGAAATGCTATCACATTTTATTTCTCAAAATATTTTTATTGTAGGCATCTTGTTACGGTTTCAGAAAAACAACATTATTTGCCATATAGATTAACTATCTTTTGCTCTTTGACAATCGGTATAATTTCAATAAATTAGTATTTAGAATTTAAAATATTACATTGTTTACAGTTCGCTACCTTTAAGACACATTACTGTATAATCAGAGCTACTTCCTTCAACATCTGACATGTTCTTAATTCACAATTAAAACAGTATTAAAGGAATGTTTGACATTTCTAAAAAATTTTAAAAAAATATGGACTTCTGAGGCATAATGTGCATTTAAACATATTCATTTGCTTATCAAACATATTCATTACACCTCGCAGCAGCATTTGATGAAACAACTTTAGAAGTGTTATAACTATTGTTCTCGACCACCTTCCTATAAAGACCGGTTGGTCTACTATGAAGCATAAATCCATTTATGTCGCTGCTGGGATGCCTATTACATAACGATTTGAGACATCGGAAACTTTTCTTGATATCATTCCGAAATTGCTTATGCCGGCCTACATAAATCAACGGATTCCATATAATTGAACACTTTGCAAAGACTGCAGGCGCAACAAAAACCCAGGGAGGTATTTGTGTGTGATCTACAACTGCAGACAAGAAAGACACAATAGAGTACGGGGTCCATGAAACAATGAAAGCACCTGAAATAAATAATTAAAAATTTGCAATTAAAAATGCATGCTATATTTAGAAAAATAACATTTACACAGAATGAAAAATGTATAATTTATAGAATTTATTTAAACTGTATATGATCCTTGAATATGATAGCAAAAAATGTGAAGCAAACAAAGATGACCTTGCATCAGAATGTTTTGATAGTTCAAGTAATTTCAATGGCAGACAACAACATATATCCTATATACATACTATTATTTCTCTCATTTAGAATATTCTGGTAAGAAACATTCTGTATCTTTTAATTTATGAAAGGAGCTGCAACGTAGACCCAAAGAGCTAAGAAACAAAGCACTTTAAAAGCTTACATACATGTATATATCGTTGAACGTTTAAAACTCGGATAATAAACAAATAATTATCGTAATTTAAAAAAGAAAATCGTAATATTCTGCAATTTCAAAGCCGTTGCCACGTAAAGGCTTTTAAATGCGCTTTGTGTTCGGTCATTTTGCTCTTTTGAGTAAAAAAAAGAAGTGAGTGATTGATCTGAAAATTTAAAGAAACGTTATTTGTATAGCCCTTCATCAAATGGTATGATAGTCTCAATCAATGTAGACAACCAAATTATTGGGGTATCTTTAAATCAAAATCACAAAAAAAAGTGCAAGGCAGTTTAGTGAGAAACTTTTAGAAAGTTCTTCAATTTTTATGAAGATAATGAGCCGTGTCACGACCAAAACCAACATTAATGGGTTTTTGCGACAGCATGGGATCCAGACCAGCCTGCGGCATCCGCGCAGTCTGATCAGGATCCATGCTGGTTCGCTTGTCTATCCAGGTTTCTCTACTTGTTTATTAGGGTTTGTAAGCGAACAGCATGGATCCTGATCAGACTGGCGCGGTATGCGCAGGTGGTCTGGAATCCATGCTGGTCGGCAAACCCATTAAATGTTGGTTTTTGTCGTGACAACGGCTCATATGTTGTCATGCGAATTTTCTCTCATAGAAAGAGTTCAACCATGTTTTCTTCATCTTATTATTATCATTTTATTTTTTCTTGGAGTGTGGGTACATGTTGCAATTGCTTGAAACGAAATTCTTGATTTCAAATTCTTTTTATTAATTTTAAAATAGGGAACAAAACCCATAAAGAACGTCTTAAAAGGCAAAATTGAAGATTTGATTGATAACGGTATTTGCTATCTTCCGTTTACGACCCTAGCACCGGCTTAAACAGAATTTTGCATTTAAGCATTAAAATGGAGACATTGCAATTGCGTGTTTATTTGTGTTAATTAAATCATACAAAAGTGACAACATGTTGTGAAATATTTATTGCAAATTATCAAATGTGGTTTTTATTTTAAAAATTCGTTTAGTTTATGTAACTTGCCTTAACCACTTTCTTCTCTTTACAGACTCAATCAAAAACGAACCTTCATCATTTTAAATTATGCCGTTTTGGTCGTACTTTTGGGGCTCTGATTCTTAAATACATACAAAATATATCGCTTACCAATCATTGTAAGCGTTGTTATAGCAACCCTTTTCTCCATGACTGTTTTTGAGATCTTTTTGTTCTCGGACGTAAGTATGCGCTTTTGCTCCGTTCCTTGTAAATCTGTATAAAAAAGAATGTGTTAAAAATTTAAAAAAAAGGTTTAAGCAAATGAAAGCTTTGATAAAAAGCACAGAGGGGAAACAGAAGGTTTTTATCAACCAAGAAATCGCGACATGACCTAAAAAGTGTTGGTTTAAGATAATATCAACATGCAAATGTAATAATTATAAAGGAACGCCACTGACGTAAAAAGGGTCTTACATAAAAAATTGGGCACTTATATAAAACAGAAATATATAACAAAAGACAAAATTGAAAATCTTACTTTGTGTTATTCTTGCACGGTTTGAGTGAAAAGCGTTGCAACGCTTTTGAATTTTTTTCCTTTTTTCGCAATTTAGATATTGATTCTGGAAAAACGGAGTGAGCGAATCATCTGCAAGTTGTATACTATTTATTGGTCTAGATCTACATCACATGGAAACAATAACCCCCTAAATATTTCTAGACCCCTCATATCTAAAACTCTTTGTGAAGTGCCCTTAAAATATTGATAGTATAATTATAAAATGAAAGACAAAATATCTAGATATTTATGATCAACACTATACATACTTTACAGGCAATGTTGATGTATCCAAAAGCAATAATGAACAAAGGGATAAGCCATCCGAGTATACCCAAGGCAATAGTGTAAGAGAGAGCAACAGCGTCTTTTGTCTCCCATTTCACGCAACAGGCTATTCCAACATCCTCTTCTTTATATCCAGACCACCCGAGCAAAGGCCCAGTTGCCCAAAATGCACCATGTCCGAAACATCCGAGAATCAAAATGGTACATCTGCATGGAGTTTTCGTAAGTTTTCTGTCACGTCGTACAATAACAAAATACCGTTCCAACGCTATCACTGTAAGCATTGTTATTTGAGAAATACCGAGAGCAGTTGTAATAAAAGCATAAAACTGGCATAGTCCATTGCCGAAAACCCATTTCTGGCTGAAACTTGATACAACCACAAATGGAACACCAAATATTGCATTGGAAATTATCACTTAGTGACAATCCGATTATCAAGGTATTGTCAGCAGTCCGAACTGTTCTATTCTTAACATAAGTAAACAAAATCGCAAAATTTGAAAAGAAACCTATCAGCATTATTGCAGTCATTAAAGTGCCAATGATATAGAAGGCATAACTGTGAAAAGTAACGGTATCCATACTAATGATACTGCGGTTAAAATAAAGAGGAGTTTAAGCTATACTGCATACTCTATTTTTCCACGCTAAGTTATTAATTCCTTTTTTTGCAATCAAATACCACAAATGATTTTTTCTTTAACATATCCACTCTCAATTAAAAACCGTATTAAAGTAAACTTCACAAACTTTATAAACAAAATGCCACATTAATGTCCACCTAAGATGATCTCCGTCTCTTTGTGAATTTCGCTTACAATTTTGTTTCAAATCACGTTAGCTATATGTGCCTTTCCTCCTTGAGCATTAGAGAGTTCTATACCTGGTGGTCAGTAATTAGCGTCTGAAACGAAAGTGACGATGTATCAATGTCTTTTATAAGGTTGAAACTGTAGCTGTTTCAACCAAACACATTTTTTTGAAATACTAAACTTTATATAGATTGGGTTGCGTGACAGACTTCTTATGTTACCATTTTCAATCTTCCCGTTGTTAATTATATAGTTGTGACAAAAAAACCTTTTTGATGCGTTTAGATTTATTTTTGCTGGCCGCCGAAATCAACTTTATTGGCCAAATATATGCCGCCGGAATCAACTTTATGGACAAATATATGCACACTTGATGTCCCGGTCGTAGAGCCCACATTAGCGGCGAATTATCAAGCAGAATCTTCCTCAATGGGTTCTTCGTTCGGTTTTGGTAAATAGAGACGACAATATTTCCAAGGCATCATCTATGAAAACGGCTCTTGTTAACACTATCCCCATCACAGGTGAACCAATCCTTTGACTTTACCTTGACCTTCCGTGTGCCTATCCCGCGAAGTTCACGCCTCGGGAATGATTTGGAACAGTAAGAAAACATTTCGCCAACTCTTTAACGCTATCTTAAGGAAAGTAAGTCTCATATGTTTATCATATCAGTCCGGCACCTTTTTTGCAAATACAAAAGTATCTGCTTTAAAGAAGGGCATTGCTCTTCGGAAATTTATTTCATCGGAAATCAACTGATTTTTCAATGCAACGCCCTTTGCCAAGATTTAAGATTAAGTGAGTTCACTTGTTTTGAATACTTAAAATATTTTAGGCAATTTATGTAAGCTGTATACTTTTTTTCAATTAAAGAAAAAGTCAGGCTTGAGTCTAATAAGTTTTACAATTAATGTTGGGTTTGTTTTTTTTGCCGGAAAACGCAGAAGTCGCCCAAGGAGTCCAGATGTCATTTTTGTCTAAGTCCGATTAAACGGGGATAGAAAAAAGCAATATTTAGATTTCAACAACTTTTTAAAATGTATTCAAAAATAAAAGATTTTTCAGCTTTATGGCCAACAAGTCGCAAAGCAACAGACTAACTGAAATAGAAAAAAAAACTTTTGAGTAATAAAACTAAAAAACATTGGGGGCTTAATGGAAGTTAAATTATTTCATTTGTTCACTATGCGTTTTCTGTTTCAAACATGATTTAATACTATAATATTCAGAATGACGCTTTGGTCGCTTTAAATTTTTATTTTCAAAGGTATATATAATTTTAATGAAATGAGCTATTGAAAAACTAACAAAAACACATTTTTATAACTTTATTGTCAAAAATAACCAATAAAATAAAATTATATTAATTAAAAACAATCATATATTATGTTAATCTATATAATCATTTATAAGTGTATACTACACATAAAACATCAAATATATCAAACAAACCACAGCAGTCATATACATGCAAATAAATAGTTTGATCTCTGTATAATCAAGGAGTGAGGAAATCCTCGTACCATACAATTATTCAATATAATCATATAAGCTTTTTATATAAATATATGTAATTTATCACAGATATTTGCTTATCACGTTTGCTTTTATATGTATTTCAACTAGATTATAAATTGTAGCATGTTCACAGTGACACAGTCATACAGAAATATGGTCCCAAACGTAAGAATCATGATAACAAATAAGTTATAATCAACTCAGTCTGTCTTTATCTCTTGTTCTTTTACTCGAAAATGTACTTAACAAATAAGATACGCGTTTTCAATGAAAACAATTTGTTTAACTTTTCGCGAATTCACATGGATTTTTTTTTTAAATTCTAGAAACGTGTTTCTTCAAGACCGTCATTGGTTTGGACCTTGGCTTTCCACACCAAAGCCTGCAATAAACACGTTGGATACAATGATAAAGAGAACAAGAACACTTGAAGCACGGTCAAGCATATCGGCAAGCCATTTCTTCTTTTCCATTTTAGGACTTGTTGATTCTTGCAAGGACTCTTGTTGATTGTATTCCTCCAGCGTTTTCTCAATGGCACTTATTACAAGCATACAAATTGTAAATACCAACTGAAGCCCTATCGACATACAAATAAAGGTGATCAGAAGGTAGTAATACTGGTTGTTTCCAGAGGCAACGAGGGCTTTCAGCTGAGAGACATTCGCCATTAAGAGAGCAACGTCCATTAGCTTGTGAATGAAATTACGTTTCATGACGTAAGCGTTTTGTGGTATATATTTGTGGGGCTCATCCTGAAAGAAATTGATAGTAACATCATTAGCAGTTTGTAATCGTGTATGAGCATTTTAAAATACTATTGCAAAATAAATTTATATGTTGGGCATAAAGTGTAAACGTACTCGTATAGTAAGTTGTTTCGGTTTACCTATTTTCAATAAGTCGATTCTCACTTTAGATATAAAGTATTTAAATATCGCCATTTTTGCTATGAGTGTTATTGTTATAATCATCATTATTATTATTATAATTATTATTATTATTATTTTTATTATTATTATTATCTTAATAATTATCAGCATTATTCATCATATTCATTGTAAATGTCGTATTCATCATTCAAAGTGCAATTCATCAAATCACTGTATTGTTTTTACTTTTTGTTATTATAATCTATTTAATAAAGATTATAATAACAAAACAAAAAAACAATGCATACAGCTAGAATATATATTTATAATATTTTTCTAATAATATAAATCTACAAACAAAATAAAACTGTCACAATTGTAAAAAAAATACAGGGTAAGTAGACGCTTGTTATTCAAGCTACAAAAAAAGCTGCTGGAAATTTGCCAAATGACTAAAACAGTTCACTTTGTCAACTCTGAATTATAGTGACTTTTTGAACAGATAATGTTTGTCGAACTATTATTTGTTACTTTTACGAAACAGTTTGTTTGTTAATTTGATATTTCTTTTTATAATTCAGCCAACAAAAGCAAAATACATTAATTTTGTAGTTACCTTTAATTGGCCATCAAATTCGTCCTCCATCGAAACAATGGCTGACCCTTCATGTTTACCGTCTCCCTGCTCATCACCATAATTGTCTGTATCCGTCTTTTGTCCAAAATCTTTTATGTTTTCATTCAGGGCAGAGTCTGAAAAAACGAGGCTGTTTTGGTGAGACATTGCCGTCCGCTTCTTTTTAAATATCTTAACTTCGAATTTTATTTCTGAAGAAGTTGATAACAAATCGCTGCCAGTCAATTGCTTTTTATTTGCATTTGGTAGGGTTTTTTTTTCAATTCCAAAAATAAACTCCATTCTGCATTTAAGGTCACATTTTTAATTTCGGAAAATACTTGATAACTCAGAGTCATTAAACATTCAGACGACACAAATAATTAATAAAGGCCATTCACACTATACTTATAGACCAAGTTAATTTTTTCTTTCGGTTTTTGGCGGGAAAATGTACCATTTAATATTCTACGACACAGCTTCAAGATTGTCTGTACATGTTATACATAAGAAGGGGTTTTAACACATACCCGGGCCGCTTTTGCAACTCCGTAAAAAAATGGTATTGCACGACCGTGCATATATTTTGCCGTGACGTCATTTTCGTTATGTAGATACCGTGTAAACACGCGCTAAATTTTAGCGTTACACTATAAGCGCGTCAATGAAAAACGACTTCTTTTCACTGTAAACAGTCTATGTTTTTTGGTTTATGATAAATAGAATACATATTTGTGTAGATTCAATACTATAATTATTGAACTCGCTTTTCAATTTTGGCCCAATCTTCACAATTAGAATAATAATTGTGTAAAACACAACTTACAAAAGAGAGAGCGAATGAGCTGAATTTTGCACACAAGTTATTGGTCTAGACCTACATATAACGGAGCATTTATCTAAAAGAAATTATTTCAAATCCTGTCATGTAAAAAGACTTCAGTCGAGTCCATTTAACATAAGAAGAATATTTGTGACCATTATATGTTGGTGATCATAATATTAGCATACGAAAAGGCATTGATCAATATAACGTAAATAATTATTTTAGCAAGACAGTAAGAGTTTATTGATAATTATAAGATAAGAAACTACAGAGTACACTATAGTCTGGCCTTTATATATCAATTAAGTTATATTGCAACGTTGCGTATTGTATGCGAGCACACTCACAAACAGGATGTGGGTGTTAATTAATGAATGATACAATAAAAATTCCGTCAATACTTGACATAAAATAGGACAATGTACTTTCAACATCATTTCGGATATTGTAACAAAATGGCGAAATGGAAAAAAAAATATTTATTTTTACACCATGAACTTTACACTTTCAGGATTTTGGGTGAAGGGCCGTGACTCAGTACCTCTATGAAATGCACGTGCTCGTAGTTGTGAGATGCTTTTTGTATAATAATACTAATTGTTCACATTTTTAGGTTTTCGAGGTAATAATTGAATTTCTTTATATCAAAATGCCTTTCAATTAAACATTTCAATTAACATTACTAAACTTTTATGCTATTCTTGACACAAATACAATAAATAAATAAATGAATTCTTATTTATTATTATTATTATTATTATTATTATTATTATTATTATTATTATTATTATTATTATTATTATTATCATAATTATTATTATTATTATTATTATTATTATTATCATAATTATTATTATTATTATTATTATTATTATTATTATTATAACAAGTTTACTATCTTGTTTGAAACATATTGACAATTTAAGTTAAACTTTTGTATCAGTTATATAGAACAACAACAACACGTATGCTTTCATATTCTCTATAAAACGCACCCCAGATCTGAATATATAAACATTTTAAGCTATAAAACAACCCTATTTTAAGTCATTAAACAATGAAACCTTCAAATTAATATGCATATTATATCTTAATTGAAGAATTTTCAACACAAAAAAAATAATAAATGAAATAAGATAAAAACAAAATAAAATAATAACAATCTGGCCAATGAAAAGAATAAAAAAAAATAAAGTACAAAAAAGTTGGCACTCTGTTTGATTTTAACCCATACACATTTCAAACTCAATACCAGTACAATAAATGAGCAGTGTCACGACAAAACCAACATGATGGGTTTGCGACATGCATGGGTCAAGACCGCGCAGTCTCATCAGGATCCATGCTGTTTGCTTACAAACTCTATAACAAGTAGAGAACCTGATAGCGAACAGCATGGATCCTGATCAGACTGCGCGGATGCGCAGACTGGTCTGGATCCATGCTAGTCGCAAACGCATTACGTTGGTTTTGTCGTGACGCGGCACAAATAAGTCTTCTGCATATAACACGGTAGACATTCCATATTTACTTTATTTAATACACTGGTATACGTTAAATAGCTTGCATAAACACAAAACGATTTCATGAATGGAGGCGTGGCCGAGTGGTTAACGAGTCGGACTAGTAATCTTATGATCGCTCAAACCCTGCCAGTGGCAAATCGTTGTTTCTTTACACTATTAGTACTGTTTGGTTCTAGGAACGGATTTGAAAATGTGTCTATTAGCTTATAGCTTACTATACGATCGAAAATGAATTCTGTATGAATTAAAATACGGGACAATGTGCAATAAAAAACAACAAAATACAAAACAAACAAAAAAACGTTTTGACTGTAAAGTGATCGGGCGTGCAATTTAAGTCGTGGGTTCAGGCTGCAAAAGACAAGTTTCTCCCTTGTTTCCCCGTTATGGATCGATCGTACGGGCACTTTATGTCAACTAAGTAAACGTTTATTTACTGTCATTGTTTATTGTTAAGGCTATATAATAATACATCATTATAAATTGCAATTATTAAGTACATATTTTAATGATCTTTGAACCAAACCGGATAATGACGTAAATATCTATGTGCGCAGGCTAAGTGTTGTACCACGTGATATTCTATGTATGATAACGTTTCCTGTTTTAATTAACAATGCTGTTTGAGAGAAAACTTTCCAAATTTTCATATAAATATGAATAAACATGAAAAATATATAAAACGGATAATATCAAGAATTTCCCAGAGTTAAATTACTTATTATTGAAGGCATTGTTGATAATAAGATTTTGCATTATACAATGTATGTGTTATCTTAGATGCTTTGATGTATTGTCCTCCATATGTGTTAAATAAAGAGTTTATTATTATTATTATCATTATTATTATTATTATTATTATTATTATTATTATTATTATTATCATTATTATTATTATTATTTATTAATATCATTATTATATTATTATGATAATTATTATTATTATTATTATTATTATTATTATTATTATATTATTATATATTATTATTATTATTATTATTATTATTTTTATTATTACTATTATTATTAATTCTATTATTATTATCATCTGCTTTACTTTTTCTTAATGTTATTTCTTTTCAATGATTGTTTTATGTTATATGTATAATGTATATCTTCGAACATTCGGAGGCAAAAAGGATTGTTACTGTTGTTGTTGTTGTTGTTGTTATAATTACATGAACATGCGATTTGTGTATTTGATTTAATCAATAACTGTTTTTGAAACAGTTTTCTGTAATAAAAAATGCTTTACGGTAGATAAGCTAAAAATCATTTTAATACTATGAAATGATCCAGAATTGAACAGCGCAAAAAGTTTTAAATTTATTTCTGAGTAAATTTCTTTCATAATGTTATCGTTGGTTGTTCTACTCAGGTTCCAACTCGGGCCTGAAATAATGCATGGATGGATACCTGAGTTCTTCTTCCACGGTAAAACTTGGAAATCGCTGTGTTGGTGTGATGGAAAAAATATTTACAGGGTGAAGTCTTGGACATGACTTCTTCGGGAACATTCCTACATATATACAATATTTCAAAAAAAACAAACAAAATATTTTAAATATTTATATTTTATCTTAGTGGCATAGTCCCGAGGAACGGTTGGTGCCCGAGCCCGGTAGGGCGAGGGCTCCAACAGTTCCGAGGGACTCTGCAGATTTTATAACACGAAATAAACGTGCGTTGACGCTATTATAGCATAAAATTTTAAAATAGATTCATGATGTATATTATATATAAAACACAAACATTAAATCCTTGTGCTTGAACGGTATTTATCCAACTCTACATGTTTTACGTATGCGTTTTATTTTTTCCGGGGCCAACAACTTGAGAACCGAACGAAATTTCGAATTTTAATTGATTTAACAAAGTTTAACTTTGGAGATATATTAACTTAAGAAAAACATAACATTAGTCTACCCAAGACAAAACAGACGCCTCAGAAATTCCTATAGAATGATTACAGATTGGCGGTAGGAAAAAGATCAGTGACATCAGATTCAAATTCAGAATCGTTTTTTTTTAAGCACGCAAGTTTAAAAAAAATCAGGCATAAAACATTATTCTCTCAAAGAAACATACAGAACATTTATCAATATAAACATAAATAAAACAACGTTTTCTTATATTCATTTTGTGCTTTCCATTTTTGTAAGTTAATCGGGGAATTAAACTGAATAACAGATTCTATTTGTTTACATTGACAACTGTCCGTTTCTAAGAAAGGGCGACAACCAAGATAAGGGGCGATGTCTATACGCCGTATTGCCGGCATAATTACTTGAATGCTGCTCGCCGTTATGCGACTGAGGCCCTCGAATTAATAATTCCAATATAACAAGAGCGCATGACTCTGGCAAACAGGCCAAATCGTCATTTTTTGTTTGTTTACTGGGCCCTGTATGTATTGCGCTTAGGTAAAACCGGGCTATAACAAGAGCGCGTGACTATGTTAACGCATGGTTTTGGCCCCGTTATAACATGGGCAATAGAGGGAAAAATAGCCGATTTTATGCTATAATGTATAATCATTCTCGCTGTATACAATGTATGCTGTATCAATGTGTAATGGTGAGGAACAGTTCTATGGTATAATAAAATATGTTCTATTGTGCTTTGTTCTGTTGAAAATGATAAAGTACTTTACAAGTATCTTAGCATTGGAACATTCGTGTTAATGATCAGTAGTAAATTTAATCAGAGATGATCAGAATTGTACCTTAACAAATTTTGTAAATATAAGAAAGTATTTTCCATTTTTTTTTGGCAGATTAATTATTTGTTATTAAAGAAATAACAGGATCAGTGCTTCAACAGCAGCAGGTGCCACTATTGATGACGATAATAGTTATTATAATGATGATGTAGATGATTATGATGATGAATATGATGATATTGGCGGTGATGATAATGATGATGACGATAATAAAACAAAAACTTATATATTAATAGGAAAAGAAATAATAATGAAATGAAAATGTTGGTGGTTGTGATGATGATGATGATGATGATGATGATGATGATGATGATGATGATGATGATGATGATGATGATGATGAAGATAGGAGGATTATAATATGATAATTATAATGAAGATGTAAAAATACTTGGGTGTTATTTTGAATGAGGATGACGAGAATGAATGCGAACTTGATGATGATGATGATGATGATGATGATAATTATGATGATGGTGATGACGACAACGATGATGATGATGATAATGATGATGTGATTATGATGATGATGATGATGGTAATGATGATGATGATGATGATAACTAGATGGTGATGATGTTGATGTTGATGATGATGATGATGATGATGATAACCAGTGTATTTGTCATTTTCTTCGGGGATGGGGTTAGTGTGTTTGTGTTGTTGATATGTTGTTTTTCATCTTAAAGTGTGCGCGATATTTACTGTTGCGTGGGCTTGCACCTTTTTTTTAATGAAAAGTGTGTCTTATATCTTATAACGATATGGTGATAGTCTGTCCTAAGTTACACCTTTTACCTTTAAAGGCGCTGTTAATTTCTTGTAATTAACAGCGTATTATATAGTACGATGGCACCAAACTGGTACTGCAAACGCCTTAATTCTAAATTTGTAACACTTGCTATGTGTCAATGTGCTAACATTTTTCTATAATTATGATACATGTGTTAATAACTGGTCAAGCCCTTGACTTGATATTAGACACACCTTATTTTCTAAAGAAAAACAACTTTCCCTTTAATTTCCTGTAATTACAAATGTTTTGTATTTTAAAAAAAATCAAATTGGTCATATTTGCCGATGGAAACACATTTAAAACTTGTGTAAAAGCACGTCTGTGTCTTGCACGTGGTACTGTTGATTACGTAGCAATACGTGTGTGATATATTTAACCTTAGAAACGTATTCCATCTTTGCACATCATTTAGTATATTTATTGTTATAGGTAACTGTTCCTAAATTCTAAGGTACAACACCGTATAAATAGAAAAGAACGGCGTCAATAGGGCGGATAAGAAAAGTTTCGGTATGGGAAAAAAACGGCCATAAGCCCTTGTCAATATGGCGGATAACTTCCGTCTTCGATAAACTGATTTGGTCCTACATACTTTTGCCCAAAAGGTTTGCGAATGATGCGGGTATAAAGTCCTACATACCTTTTCCCAAAAGGTTTGCGAATGACGAGGAATAAAGTTCTACATACCTTTTCCCAAAAGGTTTGCGAATGATGCGGGTATAAAGTCCTACATACCTTTTCCCAAAAGGTTTGCGAATGATGCGGGTATAAAGTCCTACATACCTTTTCCCAAAAGGTTTGCGAATGATGCGGGTATAAAGTCCTACATACCTTTTCCCAAAAGGTTTGCGAATGATGCGGGTATAAAGTCCTACATACCTGTTCCCAAAAGGTTTGCGAATGATGCAGGTCGGTATAATATTTGGTCAGGTTTTGATAAAATGCGGGAAAAGTGTGCTGTAAGCAAATGAAACATGTCTATAATGACGTCATCTTCAACTTTAAGTATAATTTAAGGGTTTGTGCATCTTTCAGTTAACCATTTATATCCCATAACTCCTTTATAATACTAGACAATGAAAATATCGTTGTCCGTGGAAGTAAAACAAATTGTTGTTGTTTTTTTGTTAGAAATAAAATTGTTGGAAGTAATTTGAAACAAGTTAACTTGAAATAATATACAAATGTACTTAATTTTAATGGGCAAGATTGGTTTGCCAGTTTGCCGTGCAGGGTATATGGAAAACGGCGGGTTTGTTCTCTCGTTATCGTTAAAATTACCTACGCAGTATTGGTTTTACAGCTGTTAAAATTAGAAAACTCTTTTATAATAAATTATGAAAGTTCGCCGATGATTGGTTGTTTTATAAAAGGCACGAGAAGGTAAAAACCTGTGTAGCGTTATTTAGAAGCTGATTGCGAAAACATTTAATGTAACAGTCACGTCACCACGGTGCAATTCCATATCGGTTACCTCTTTGCGAAATCTGCTCAAACGGTACCCTCTTTGAACATAAACAGGTCATTCGCTGCTAAAAACAAACCAGCGATGGATAACAATCAGCACATAAATAAAACAACCTAGTGTTCTGTTGTATACATGTTTTCGACGTGTCATACCTCCTTTCCTTATTACAATGAAATTTTACTGGATTGTTATCTATCGCTGGTTTGTTTTTAGCAGAGAATGACCTGTGCATGTTCAAAGAGGGTATCGTTTAAGCAGATTTCGCAAAGAGGGTACCGATATGGATATGCACCGTGGTCACGGATATACTTATGTCGAACCAGCATCATAAGCGGGGCTTCTCTGATTCCAAGGTTGTAACGTACACCGAAATTTGACATGTGCAGTGCATTGACTAGACCCCCAAAAAAATGTTATCCGAACCCTGCCCAGGACCAACAAAAACAACAAACAAACAAACAACAGTAGCACGCACGCACGCACACACGTACATAGACACAGAACATAAGTACTCATACAAATAATTCACTTTATTCAGAGCCATAGTGCCGGGGACTTGTTGTAACTAAATTTTTAATAAATGTATTCATCATATAAAAGACTGGCTTATTTTAATGAAAAAAAATATTTTTTAAGTTTTAATCCTGCCCGACGTCCCGTTACATTTATATTTTTAGATAAAACTATCACAATAAGCAGTAAAAAGTGGTTAATACATGCTAAAGTAATAAAAACATATTTGTAAAGTTACTACCGTTGACCCATGTGAAATACCGATAAACACGTGCAATTTTATTTCATGTTGAAATTAGCACGATTTTCACGCTGCTAGCGTTGAGTTATATATTATATGTCTTTAAAAAGCCTACAGGATCTCTTATTTGTCACTTCCGAAATAATTCATTAATTATTTAGTTCACGTTCTTTATTCAACTTTAATACAACCTAAACTATTTCTACTAAAATGTCATAGTATAAGAAATATGGTTATACAAATGTATATAAAATTGACTTTAAACTGCATTTGTATTATAAACTTCTTTCTGTCGGAAATGAAATACAGTTTCATCCTTTCGGTCTCAGGAATGATGTCATATTAATACACAGTTGTGTATCCCTACACATCCAAGTTGGCATTTGACGCATATTTAATTGGATTTCATTTGTGTCCTACAGTAATACTATGCCTTTGGAAATTGATAATATCTTTGAAAACTTCAGATTTCAAATGCGTCAGGTTCGATTAAATAAGTCAGCAATTATTGTAATGCTATTTATGGTTTGGACTATGATATTATCGGGAATAGGTAAAGTTGAGTATGGCATGAACAAAAGTGAAATGGCTGTATGCCTGCGCCTATTTGAAAAGGAATGGCGAAATGGTCCTAAAGATGGTACTGATATAAAGCATGACGCTAATAATGGTGAACAAGACTATAGAGAATTACCTGAAATGTCTAAGGATAAACCAAAAAGAACGGATACTTCAAAAGATGTCCAAAAAAGCATAGACTGCTCTGTCTGTAATAATATGAAAGATAGTGAAAGGAAAGATAATTCAGATGGAATAACGAAAACTGACAACAAACCGAAAAATACGCCTAAAGAGACAAAAATATCTGATAAAAAAGCGGACGTATCATTGAAAACCGAACATCAAGAAAATCAGCAAAATGAGAAAAAGGAACAAAACAAAAAAGATAAAAGTGACTTATCTAATATTAGATTGAATCCAAAAACAGCGAAATCATTAAAGCCGAACGTGACGTCACACTTAAATAATATTCTTCATCGTACAATGCAAAAGCCATACCTTATTGAAAATCCAAAATTGTGTTCTTCTGTTAAAGGACTTAAAGTTCTTGTTATAGTGCATTCAGCAACGAAACATTTCGAGAAAAGGTTAGTGATGCGGGAAACATGGACTAACAATTCGTACTATCCGAATTTAGGACCCATCCGAACAATGTTCCTTTTGGGCCGTGCGCCAACCCCTTACGTTAAAGCGAGCATTAATCAAGAATTCAAACAGTACGGTGATATTCTACAGGGCGATTTTGTCGATTCCTACCACAACTTGACATTGAAAGGCGTAACAGCCTATAAATGGGTGACTGAGAAGTGCAGAAACGCTCAAGTGATACTCAAAATAGATGATGACGTCATCATCAATATGTTTCATTTTCTCACCCAGACTGTGCCATTTATTGTATCGAAACCAAAACACATTGCATGCCGGCGTTCGGGGATGGCTCGAGTCAATCGGAACCCGAATAACAAGTGGTTCGTGGCAAAAGAGCTATTTGTTGGAGAAAAAACATACCCTGAATATTGTGAGGGATTTATGGTAGCGTTTTCAAATGATCTTTTACCCAGTCTATTCAAGTCAGCTATGCTGACACCATTTTTCTGGATAGATGACGTATACCTTTATGGACTTGTGCCAAGAAATATACCGGGAGTACATTATACAAATCTGACGTTTGAGAATGATGTATTGTGGGGAATAGACAAAATAAAAGAGTGTTTAAAAAAGGAAACGAAATGCAATCATTTTGTGTTTTTATTATTAAAACATTCGTCGCTTAAAGTAAGAAGCATGTGGGCACTAGTTCTAAATCAGAAGACGAAACGGAATTAACCAACAGATTATCTCCTAATATAGGAATATAAACTGTATGCATAACAGTTGAATGGGCATTATTTTTTTATTCAAATATATATTTTGGATTTATTTTATTAAAAGAAAACAATAACACGTATTGATAACATTTTACGAATGCAAGACGAAGAATAATATCAAAGTGTATTTATAAAGCTGAATACCTGTTAACAAGATCAAAAATTAATTTTGAAATACCTGTAAAACACTTCCGAAATACATGTATGAACAAAACATGTCTGAATGTATCCTTAAAGGCCCATTATGCCTCAGAAATTAGTTTTTGTTATTTCACAAAACCTTAAACTGTTAAAAGTTCGGTATCTTGTTACAGTTTCAAAAAAAATACTCATTTTGCCATATATATGAACTATCTTTGCTCCTTTTGGCCATAGTTGGCAATTTGTATAATTATAGTGAATAAGTATGTTGTACGGAAGTCAAAATATTTTTCTTTGTTTACATTTTGATAACTTTACGACACATTACTGTGCATTCATAGCTAATTTCTTTAGCTGTTATATATCTTTAATGCTCTAGATTTATCCATTATAAAAACATTATTAAACACATGTTGACTTTTCCAGAGATGTTCATAAATATTGATTTTAATTAAGGCATAATGTGCCTTTAAGAGCGAATTTTCCATGCACAAAATTATTGCTGAATGGTTGAAACCCTACAGGCAAGATAATATTTTGTTCTGGGACCTTTTACGTTTACTATAAATGTGTATTAAATAACAGAGACATTCTATGATGCAACTATTCGTAGAACCAGCCATAAGATTACCGAAACAGCATTATCGTAAATTGTTTATAAACTTTATAGAATAGAACATTTATAAGCTATAGCTTTATACCCTTTTATACCCTTTATTATGTATGCAATATTGAAAATATGTTACCTCCATTAGTTTCAGTTATAGCACGGTTTAAATTTTTGATAACTACATGTAGTCCGAGAGCCGATGTTATAAAACGTTGTTAGCCATCTCAATTCAGGGGAAGTCACTGCTGAATATTTGCTTTCATTTATTTTGTAAAGATTGCGCCCCTTGGATAAAGAAAAATAATTATATTTTTACTTGTGGATTATATTATTTTTTAAATCATACTTTGTTTTATTATTTAAGATGAATGGTAATATAATATATGTATTCTTAACAGGTCACGTAATACTATAGTTAATATATTTTGTTAAATTGATAAATTGAAGTTATATTAGATATATATAACATGATGATTATATGTTATTAAAAGTACAATAAATTATTTATTTACAGCTTTTCGTATTGATATTTTTTTTTCAAGTTATATAATCAAAACAAAATGGTTTAAAATCTTTGTCTCGATGGAATACCAACTTTCAGAACTTTCTATTGCTCATAAATCTCATCTCGAGCAACATCGTTTCTTTCGTTATATTTCGACTGTCTCCGTACATCTAATGTCGCGAGGGTGTTTTCCGTCTTAAGAGAATACCAATATGGCGGATCAAATATATACATGTACATGCTCAACAGGAATTGTGATCACGTGGCACAGACACTTTTATCTTAATGTAAACCGAATTATGTTTGCACATTATTTGGTAACAGTATACTCCAAATAGTTGCAATACCGCAGACAATGAGCCTTAAAATAAGCCACTGACTACCTTCCACTCATCCAAATAGTATTCTGAGTGAACGTGTCTGTTTGTGCATTAAAGGCCCACTATGTCCCAGAAATGCTTTTTCATTTTTATTTCTCAAAATCATTTTATTTTGGTATCTTTTAAAGATTCCAACAAGTTACTTATTGGCCAATTAGTACATTTACAGTGATTCAGTATTTTGTGTGGAAGTATACAATACTGTTTCGTTTACATTGTGCTTCTTTTATGGCATATGCTTTTACATTAAGCACTACTTCATTCAGTTAACAAACATCTAGCATTCTCTAAAACCATTGTTTAAACATTATAAAACTAATGTTTGGCATTTCTAAAGAAGTAAATATTTATTCATTTCTGAGCATTATGTGCCTTTAAGAAATAAACGCATTTTCACTTTCCGAAAAAAAAGAGGTTCATACTAATAAATGTTACTCACCAAATTCTACAATTCATTTAAAAACAATAAAGAAAAGTTACGTGGTAAAGGCATCGTGACTTTAAATTATCTTAAATGACAAGAGGTTAAACAACAAACACATTTAATGAACTGTATATTAAAAAGTAGTAGAATGCGCAAAAAAGATGGGGAAAAAACAACTAAGAACACAGAAACAATGCACAAACGTGATAATAAGGGAAATAAGGGAGGTAAAACTACAAACTGTGGAGTTATCCCTCTTATTATTAGCTGTAACAAGTCTCTTGTAATTCTTTCGAGAATGGCTATATACAAATTAAATGTTTTTAATGTTTTATATGTATATATGTGTATAGATGAGACTATAATAAAGAATAAATATATATGTAATCTGATAAACGTTAGATATATAATTTGAATAATTGGTTACTTAAACGCGTGCATGATATAATTATAAGAATTGAGTAATTATAAAAATGTAAAAATTCTTCAGTTATCAGCATGAGATTTTAAATTTATGAGAGATTACGAAATAGTTTCGTGACACGAGCATAGTACATGCAGCACTTTTTATCAGTCAGTTTAATTATGTTTCGTTAAAAACCTATTTAGGACATGTTTTTTGTTCACTTTCTATAATTTATGATACAATGGATCTCAGGAATTCGCCGTTTAATTATTCCACGTTGCTGCTTTTGTTGCTGTGTAAAGCAGGTAATTTATTCAGAATTTGAGATGTGAATTTTGTATTATGTATTTCATCTTTGACCTCTCTGAGCATCTCTCTGAGCTCGGTACAAGTGTACTAAGCTGGCTGACGATTTTGCTAAAATGAGCTTGTAGGGAATTTTGAAATAGCTTAGAAATTGTTGTCTGTGTTACAATATTTGGCTTTTGATTAAATAAAATCAATTCATTTAGAAAAGTATTCACAAAATACCTAAATCGAATGTTGATTTTTTTATTATTTTTACACAAAACACATATTTTTAAAAGTCACGTGTGTTCGCTACTGTTGACCTTTGTGATAAATACACAGATAAAGTACTGGTTTATTAAAAAGCATATCGTTACATTAGTGCAATAATTAACTGCTTAACTTTAATTAAATTTAGAAGGACTTAACCTGCTTCTGAACGAATGTGATGATGTGAGTTATATCATGTACAAATTTAAATACCCAATAAAAAATTTCGTATTAGCGTTATAGACATAAGTAAATCATTAGTTAATTCTCACCATGCCTCCGCCGTGTGAGGGCTGGGGTGATGGGAATGAACTTATAAATATCTTTACCTTCCTTCCGCCCTTCCGCCAGGTCTATACGACGCTTAAACTTTTGTGGATTTAACGTACAAATTTGCTTAACATTGGCATGAAAAGGGCTTCAATTCTAACAGTTCCCAAACTTGACCAGGGGCATAAAACTCAAGAATGCTAAGTTTCCTTTATTATCATAGGGGTCATCGTTCCAATTGTCGAAAAGATACATACTTTTAAATCATTTGAAAGCTACACACTGTAATGTACAAAATATTACAATAGGAACATCTCGGCTATGTTTCAGAGGTTTACTGGTAAGAAACCCAGGTTATCCTGGCATGTATCAGTGTTATACATTGGACATGTAAAAGAACCAAGGAATCTATTCAATAAGAGCTAGGGACTGGTTCCCGGATTCCCTTGTATCTAGTCTGCTGAGATAAGGACCCTACTGGAAATAAGTGCTTGCACTTTCGTAGGTTATCTTTGACCGCCCGGTCCAAAGAAAATTATCAAATCATCATCATCATTCATAATAACTTTATCCGAAGTTTGACGAAAACGACCGAGCAGATACGAGTGCAAAATATTAGTGTGATTTTGTTACAGACGGCAGTGTATCACTTGATAAAAGATTTGTAGAGGCTGCCATATATACAGGTAAAATTTATCTATTTTGCTAACATTCTATTGTTCTGAAACATGGTTTGATAAAGAAAATACATTTGTTGAATGCAAACTTCGATGCCGTCACTTTGAAAAAAGGGCAGTAACTGGTTACCAATGGTTGATATTTCATAACTGGTTTTGACTGGTTGATATTTTCTACATACACCAATAACTGGTTTCTAAAGGATGGTATTTCATATATATGGAACTGACTGGTTTTTAATGGTTGATTCATCATATATACACCAAACACTGTTTTAAAATGGATGATGTTTCATACATACACCAAACACTGTTTTATAATGGATGATATTTTATATATATATATATATATATATATATATATATATATATATATATAACAATAACTTGTTTTGTAATGGTCGATATTCGATATTTCATGTATACAACAATTACTCGTTTCTATTGGATGGCATTCATATATACAACAATTATAACTAATACCTGCACGGGGAACTAATACCTGCACTCAAGATACCGCACTGTGCATGTATATGTATACGATTTAACTCTGACACATTTTCAACAGAAAGGTCCCCAAACTATGATAAAACTGGTTTTAATGGATGGTTGCTATTTCATATCAGCAATAACTGGCTTTTATTGGATGATATTTCATATATACAACAACAGTTGTTATTTCAGTGAAACAGCTTTTTGGTTAAGTCTGTTAAAATGTACAAAAATTACTTATATTGTTGCACATTTTGAAGGCCCGTATCAATGGTCAACGTGGACCGATTGGACTTCCTGTAACGGAACATGTGTGAACGCTGGCGGCATTGGACAAAGTGTTCGAACACGTTACTGTGACGATGGAAGGTTCTATGTCAAAGTACATTTATGCCAAGTTCCATACGTGGGCAACGTCGGCGCACTAGTATTCAGAAGAGATGCAAAACATGTGGAACGGTCGGATGCAATAAACTTAAATGATGGCTTAACAGCATATGAAACGAAAACATGCCACGTGACGTGTGCGATGCACGGTAAATGCACGTGATTTACTCATATCTGACATGTTTGATTGATTTAGTTCTAACTGGGTTTAACATGGTCCAGATGTCAAGATTTTAAATAAGTTAAAGGGACTTCACTGAGGTTTTTTTATACATGACTGGACTGAAATTAATGTTTCATTTGATCTATAACTAGATCAATAATAACTCGTGCACATTAAGCTCATTTGCTTCCAGAGTATTTATTCAAATTGTTAAAATGACCCAAAATTAAAAAGCGTTGCAAATCGGACAAAGAATAGACAAAATATGATTTTAGTCTACTTCTTTAGAAGTATGTTAGTTAATAATCTGCTGCATATCTTACTGATTTTAAGTGACCCTAGCCGATCTGTGTAAAAGTTTCGAATTTTATATTTTTAGGTACATGTATTTGGATCCCAGTGGAGTTCCTTTAATAATCTTGACTAAAATTAAGAGTGTTTTGACATGTAGGAACTGGAAATATTTGTTCGACACTTTTTTGCCATTTGATGTAGGTTTGTAATAATAACTTGACAAGGAATTAATAACAGGAGGTTATGCATATGATAATATACATGTATATATTACAATTTTTTTAATAATCATTTCGTGTACAATATATGTTTAATATTCATTTCAATATGCAATAGATTTGATAATGATGTATTTTCCGATCTTAATATAGAATCAGTCAATATATGGAGCCCTTGGCAAACCTGGTCAACGTGCAGTGTAAGCTGTGGAATAGGTAAATGGTCAAGGCCACGGATCTGTAGCACCGGCATAGATTGCATAGGTGAACCTATCCAGTACGGTGCATGCTTTAAACAAAGTTGTCAAATAGGTATGTTGAGATAAATAATCAACAATTGATCCCATATATACGTGTGACGTGTTTTACAACAGTTTAACATGCACTATAGGTCCGAGCCTATATTGGCAGTCTTGCATGCTTATAAGAGTATCCTTATAAGACAGCCATAGTGTTGGACACTCGCAACATTAAACATAATATTAATATAATTTATTACATAAATTAAAAGTTACAAAGTTTGGTTCTCATTCGCATTCGAATAAATAAAGTTTAAAGGTTTCTTTTGCAAAATTGTATCATTTTTATTTCTCAAAAATAGTTTAATTTTGGTATCTTGTTACAGTTTCCAAAAACATAATACTCATTTGGTAAATACAATACCTTCTGAATATATACTTCTGTTGGCAATTGGTATAAATATAGTTAATAACTATTTTGTATGGAAGTCAATATACTATTTTGTTTATATATTCCTAACTTTATGATACATACATGCATGTTAAACGCTACTTTTTCAGTTGTAAAACATTATTTAAACATTATTAAACACATATTTGACATTTCTAAAGAAACAAGAAATATGTATTTCTGAGACATAATGTGCCTTTAAGCTTTGTCTAGTGAATTAATATCTCTAAATGTAACCATGGTAACAGAGATTCTAAAACATTGCACATACATGTATGTTGATGGCTACAGTATGTAAAAAAAAATAAGTAAAAAATAAAACAGTATCACTTTGACTTTCTTTGCATTTCATAAGAACATTTCAAAAAAGAGGTATGTAATGATTTATTCTAATTTATTTGAATCATATCGTTTAAAGATTTAGATGGCAGCTGGGGATCATGGTCGGACTTTGCAAACTGCTCACGCACGTGCGGAAACGGTGTTCAGCACAGGCACAGACAGTGTAATAATCCTGCCCCTCAAAATGGCGGACAAAATTGTACAGGAAGTGCCCAGGACTTCCGAGCATGCGCAACGTTCCCTTGTCCTATAGGTATTTTTTTCCGATAGATGATTTGAATGTTTCGTAAAATTAGCTGCTTGATGCTTTGTTGGATAATTAGTTATTCAAGTATGAAAAATTATGTGTTGATGTCTCAAATAACACGGCTGCAATTACATCTGATAGTTTAATATTTGATTCAAAAATATAATAGTTGCGTTTTGTTTCACTAGCTGTATCATTAATTTAAGACGGCGGATGGAGTAATTTTACCGACTTGGCATGCAGCGCCACCTGCGGAATAGGAATAATGACGTCAATACGATCATGTACAAACCCAACGCCGAGAAATGGCGGGCAGGATTGCCCTGGTGAAGGATACAAATTATCCCAGTGCTATTTGAAGAACTGTATAGGTATAAAGTTAGTATATGTTTATAGGCAGGAAACAGATTTTTTTTTTGAGAATATGTATTTTAAGCTGTTATAGTTATAAAAATTACTAGATGGACAAATAGAAGTTGAAATTGAAGCTTTAATGTTTTAACCTTGTATACAATAAACAATCTGATAAGACAAAGGTACTTATAAACACAAAACTCAAATATTATTACGGCACATGTATTTGCGCATGTGTAAACATTCACTTGGTAAAATTTTCTGATCTAAAATCCTGTGACACAAATTTATTCATTGTTTTACATCATAAATATGATAGTCAAATTAAGATTTATCAATATTGTAAGTTCCATAAAGCATTATTACCGAATTTAACATTTCATGTAAATAAAGGGAGGTAATTAGAAATTTAATTTCTATAACGTCTAAGTCAAAATTTTCAATAAAAAATGAATGCATATATTTCAATGATTACATATAATGTGTACAAATATTTGCAGTACATATTTTACATGTTCTCCGATGCTTGAAAAATATTTTATAAGCATATATAACATAATTATATAAAGTTTCAGATAAGTGTGGTAACAATTTGCCAGCCCGCATAGCTCAATCGGTTAGAGCGCGAGACTTGTAATCTCGACATTGTGGGTTCGATTCCCGGGCTGGCCAACTAAAATTACTAATCAGTCTTTCGGATGAGACTTTAAATCGAGGTCCCGTGTATGGGTGCTTAAACACTTGGCACGCTAAAGAACCAGGAGAAGCTTCTGGAACTGGGGCATCTTTCTGTATCTGTAATTGCACTATCCTCCGAAAAATAAAATGACTAATACTCTTCTGGAGGGCTCGCCCATATGGGCAACCGGTGGCGAGTATAAATAAACGCAAATACACACACATGGTAACAACTTCAATTACAACATACAGGATCTTTCACAAACGTATTTAAGTTTTTTTGTTTTGTTTTTTTTTGTCTGAGTAGCGGACTACGAACAGCTAAGGTTATAAACAATCTCATAGCTTCTGAAGGTAGCAAGAATAATCCTACAGTTCTTCTATCACGAAATTAGTGATCTATTGTACATGTATTGTAGTTGATCAGTGGTCCACGTGGTCTCCATGGAGCAACTGCAGCGCGACATGCGCAAACGGAACGAAATCAAGAGCACGCACGTGTCTGTCTTCAAACGACTGTGTTGGAGCAAGCCGCGAGACAATGGCTTGTGTTAAGACGTCATGTCCGCAAACAGTTGGTATTATTATTATAATGATTATTTATATCATAATCATTCTTCTCCCATCATTATGATTATCATCATCATTATCATCATCATCATTATCATTGTTATTTACCATCATCATCATCTTTATTATCATTATTATTGTTATTATTATCATCATCATTATTAGTAGTAGTATGACCATCAATATCATCATCTACATCATCACCATCTTTTTAAGTAGTATCAATATCCTTGTCGTACATCGATCGTCGTTGCTGTTGTTGTTGAGTTACAAACTAAGAAATGTAAATGGTATCTTTCAAAGCTTGTTCAAACTTTAAATTTTAGATGGTGGATGGAGCGACTTTGTGAATATCTCGTGCAGCGTTACATGTGGGCGTGGCCAATTAGTTTCGCTGAGATACTGCAACAACCCCTCCCCACAAAATGGCGGTAAATATTGCGACGGAATAGCCCACAGAATATCGGAGTGCAGTCTGCCGTCATGTGTAACAGGTAGATTGATTTAAGAAGGGCTATCATATGTAAATGTAAATCAAAAAACAGATTTTCAAATTTTGGTTTTGAAAAAACTTTATCTAGCTCATGCATAACGATTTAAATATTTGTTATCAGTAATTACCTTTTTTGCTATTGGACTGTTGGGATTCAGTATAATATTGATCTACAGATGGTCAGTGGTCAAGGTGGTCAGACTATACCAAATGTGGGTCTATTTGTGGGGATGGCTACACTTTGCGGTATCGGACATGCTCGAGCCCAGCACCCAAGAATGGCGGGAAAAACTGCACGGGTATCTCCGAGGAGCGCCTTCAATGCAATAGTGGTCCATGTCAGACAGGAGCTTAAACGGAGACAACACATGAGTCACGTGACTTTAATTTGTCGAAATGTTGTTGTTTAAAATGATAAACTGGCTGACTTTTTTCACTACTTGTTCATTAGCTAGCATCGTTGCCTTTAATGGCAGCCATATACGAAATACAGGTCCGATTTATGCGTCGCGATCCTGACTTTTTAAAAATTACATTTATAGCGTCAATCCCTTTAAATTAACAGCTCATACATTCATTTAAATACCTTGCATCACTTTCAACAAAACTGGCTGCGTATCAGTTTTCACAAACCAAATCTTTAAACAATACTATGAAATATAAATGTAATTGTATTATACAGGTTATATGACCAAGTTTAAACGGCTGGCTACAAGCTGATATAACCCGAATGGCTACCCGATGGTTATATTGCAATACATTTAACCGTTTCTACGCGACTATAGAACATATAAGAGATTTTTACGACTTTACAATACAGTTTACTTAAAACATTTTATATAAGGATTAACAAATAGTACTACACAATTTGTCAGCAGCCATTTATATTTCAAGCGTGTTTAAATGGTAGGAATATTTTGCAAACTTTATGCATGTTATCTTTTTTAAATGATTGCTCGGTCTGGTAAAATAAATCATTGTAAATTAAAAATATGAATAATAGATATTATGAATGCATTCATAGGTAATCGGCGCGTTGATTGGTCACTACCCCCGCACCCCCCCCCCCCTCACCCACTCTACAGCCCTCCTATCTCTCAAAACCATGTTAAATACAGTACTTTTCATTTGAAACATGTTTTAATATTTGGTTTATGCTTTTAATTCAATAACCTTCATTTCCTACAAAAAATAAAAAATTGATACATATATATTTAGTAAAGGTATGCAACTCGCCGCTCAATTTTCAGCACTCATCTTAATATGAACTCCATAACTTCAACATTTTTTCACCAATTTTCAATATTTTGGTACCAAATGGTAGGGAATTGATTACTCTTAAAGGAATTAAAGTTGTCATTACAATCATTTCAAGTTATAAGAAGATATGTAATCTCGAAGTCACCGCAAGTGTAACTCGACAGTGATCTGACCGCTGGGTTTTCTTCAAAATTACCCGACTAAACGGCAGTTTATTCGAAATGAATGCATATTTCATTGTATTGCGCATATAAATATGATCAAATTATATTATTATTTGTAATAACTGTTCAATCAGAACAGCTTATAAAACTATAACAAACCTTTTTTCCTATATGTTAAATTCCAAATTATAATGAAAGTAATAGTTCTACAGAGTGCTCTCCCCTTCATTTTTGTACGGAGTATTTTCATTGGTCTAAGGTTTTCATACGACCAATGAAAATACTCCATACGAATGCTTCCGTTTATACATGTAGGAAAAAAGGTTTGTTATAGTTTTATAAGCTGTTTTGATTGAACAGTTATTACAAATAATAATATAATTTGATCATATTTATATGCGCAATACAATGAAATATGCATTCATTTCGAATAAACTGCCGTTTAGTCGGGTAATTTTGAAGAAAACCCAGCGGTCAGATCACTGTCGAGTTACACTTGCGGTGACTTCGAGATTACATATCTTCTTATAACTTGAAATGATTGTAATGACAACTTTAATTCCTTTAAGAGTAATCAATTCCCTACCATTTGGTACCAAAATATTGAAAATTGGTGAAAAAATGTTGAAGTTATGGAGTTCATATTAAGATGAGTGCTGAAAATTGAGCGGCGAGTTGCATACCTTTACTAAATATATATGTATCAATTTTTTTATTTTTTGTAGGAAATGAAGGTTATTGAATTAAAAGCATAAACCAAATATTAAAACATGTTTCAAATGAAAAGTACTGTATTTTACATGGTTTTGAGAGGTAGGAGGGCTGTAGAGTGGGTGTGGGGTGAGGGGGGAGGGGGGTGCGGGGGTAGTGACCAATCAACGCGCCGATTACCTATGAATGCATTGATATAATTATAATCAAACTTTACAATTTATCATAATTTATTTTAGAAATGAGTTAAACACAGTTAGATATTTGATTCAATTGAACCTGTTGGCAACAGTGGTCTGTAGTGAAAGAAGCTGCCTCTCACCCCGGAATCATGGGTTTGAGCCCCACTCAGTGGGATAACGGCCATGTGTCTTCGTTTGACACGGGTTCTTAAAATTCCAGGAAGCGTTCTCGGAAGTGAGTAATATACTTATGTTCCATAAACATGTGTTTTTTTTTTTCAGTCCAGTTTGAATACTAAGTATGTTTTAACTAAATCTCTTGACAGCTTTTTTTTTCTCCGGCACGCCGAAAATGAAACGTGTCCACATTATTTAAGGTCAACTAAGCACAGTGATAAACTGACCTGCTGACGTCACTCGGTCAGTATTTAATCTCTAAGCAAATATTATTCACCTCACTGACCTGAATAAACACACCGGCCAAGCCTCGCTAATGCCCCTTACTCTTTACACAAACATGAAAGCCCCATCACGACCTACACGTTCGTTTCACTCATTAGAGTAAAGATTCAACATGACTGCAATGCTGGCACGGTGTTTGTGCATACTAATCAAAGCGCTGAAAGTACTTAAAATACGCAAAGCATACCGATATGAGGGGTCGGATGAAAGTCCCTCAAACTCCGCGCACAGGGTGCTTCTTCACACAAGTTCACGTGAGATGGTTGGTTATCAATGGTTGTGTTTTTCCCCCCAAGGATGGGGCGGGGGGGGAAAAAAAATTTAACCGTAACAATTTATTTTTTTCTGTAATAAATAGTGACATTATAACTTAAGTATTGATGTCAAATCTGTCGATATGATTAAAAAAAGTTCATTTTTGTTAAGTTAAGATTACTTGAATGATTTCTCATTCGACAGCAGCCATTGTTTTGGAAATAAACGGTGCGATACGTTACTAAAAATATTTTCATAATAATTATTTCCAAAATATTTTTTTTTCACTTTTAGTTCACATCTAACATATTACGGTCTTATAAACAGTAGTAAACCGTGTTTACTTTATAAAATAAATATCAAAACTAAAAAAAATTATATCGTCAAAAATTTTGACGAAAATGTTGTGATGGAAGTGATCTAATCCTGTAAGGGGAGATCACTGCGTGGGAGACCTTTATTGTTCAAATACTGACAACTTATGTTTTACGAATGAATTCAATTGTGATTATTTGATGTAAAAAGTTCTTTGAACACAAATGTGCTAATCATTTACCTCGTAAAAGCAGCTGAATAACCCCAACGTTTGGGTGTTTATACATGTGGATAAAAGCTGAGGAGTTCCAGTTAAATGCAAAATGAACCAGTCTCATTCTGGACTGTTTATCATAGGTCGTCAGATTTATTGCTGCATCCATTTTCGGGCATTCTTATTACAACACATGCTATTTTCATATTTTATATACATTTACAATGAAAATTTAAAATTCAATTAGATAGAAGCCCATTGTTGAAATAAATATAAGTTCGAAAGGTTACGAATTCAACTTCATGAAGTCAAAACGTCAACGTTATGAATTTGTGATTTCAACAAAATTTGAATTCACGATCTCATAAATTCAACGTCAGAAATTCGCTGTTTTTTATACTTCCTATTTTCAACGAAAGATTTTCCTTCCATGTTTTTAAGATTTTTTTCTCCTTTTCGCATTTTTTTGGTCCGCTTCAAATAAGCTTCAATATTTGTATAGATTAAAATTAACTTACGTTCTGTTATCTTGAAATTCCAGTTTTTGACTCTTTCTTACACTTTTTGTCATGCCTTGTCCTTAAACTGTTACATGTTCATTATCATATCACAAGTCAAGTTGAATTAGGTACTAGAGTCAGCATTTCTGTTTGTTATTCATAAAATGTACAATCTATGGACTTACTAATTTGCATATACATGTACAATGTATTCTGAAAATCCACTGTGAAGTAAGAAAGTACGAAAATTTTACAATATCAGTTTAAAAGAATGACAGTATTTTTAAAAAAGATTAAGAAAATATCTTAATACACAATCGTAAACATCTCTGAGATCTTTTTAAGGCAGGGTAAAAACTATACAGGAAGTTGGTTGTAGACCAAATGTAGCACAGGTGACCAGGTCAGGTTCCTTATCCCAAACTTGTGAGTTCGAATCCCAACTAAGACAAAAAAATTTTTTTTTGCAAGGTCGACAGTCCACACTGGCTTGGAAACTGGCCATGCCACACAGGTAAAGGTCATGTGTAGCTAGATAGGGCCGCGATATGATTAGGCTCCAAAGACGTGCTTGATAAAAAGTTAAAGAAAAAAAACACACACAAAAAAAACAGCAGCAACAACAACAAAAATAAAAAATTAAGGTAATCAAAGAAGCAGGCCTTGAAATTGTTACAGCACATTTCTTATTTTAGCTAGTGTTTCAATTTAATGTAGATAGTCTAATGTAAACATTACAATATTTGTAAAAGATAGATCTAATAACTGCTCGTAGCAATCAAGTAGGCAATCTAGTAGCTTATACGAATAAGATCAATTTCAGTTTTCTTTTCAAAAACACACTAATAAATGTTCATCCCTCACCTAGGTATAATTTCAAGGTAATATCCCAAGTACACAAACACACCAGTGATTGGTTGGTGTTTTTTAGCCAAATTATGGAATTTACCAATGACAACGTATTCAACACCGATATCTCCTATTGGTCAGCTGTTTTCAACTTCCTTTTTTACCGTTAAAAAAATAGTTATAACTATTGTGTATATTTCTATCAATCGACATTTACGGCAAATTATACATGTATATCATTCATCACTACTTACTTCCGGTGATAAGTATCAAATATGTTAAAATATTTTTTTAAAACGTGTTTGACAATAGTTTGCACCTTCCCAAGAAAAATAGTTTATATTCCTTTCTGATGCGTAATGTGCCTTTAGATGAGAAGACAGGCTATTAAATACATTTTCCCGTATAATTATTGATAATTTCACTAGATTGTGATGGAAACCGGATGTTAATATTGACCATTATCGAACTCATTTCCTGACATTAAGTAATATCATACAGTAATACTGGTGTTAGATTAGGGAACTTGGCTGTGACCGGGAAGGGATCGAAGCAATGACCCCTTGCTAAGAGGCGGTACCTGTTATTACAGTCCATTTCCGAAATGGACATAATTTATTGAAACTACAATCGTCCAAGTTCTTCCTTCAAGGCCATGCCTCATGTCTTCGGGTCGGAAATAATAGTGTCCGAAGGGCGGATTTAGGATGCAAAAACATGTTCAGCCAACAGGACATTGATCTTAATGTTTGACACGGTCAAGTTGTTTTTCGGCCCTTTGACCGTTTACTTCACGATGTTTACCCATGGACGCATTTAAACAGCCGTGTACGGTGGTCCGTAAGGGCCATCATTGTTTAACACGATAAAACGATGCAGATATAATTCACTACGATAGAAAACAATATTGATAACGCTCTTCTGCTATATCTTACCGTTTGTTATCGTGCCCTTTTTTTGGTTACCTTCATGGTATAAACATTAATCAGACCGGATGAGATGTTTTTCATTCAAAAATTCGAAAAGGCTATATATATATATATATATATATATATATATATATATATATATATATATATATATATATATATATATATATATATATATATATATATATATATATATATATATATATATATATATATATATATATATATTTATATTGAACATTTGCATTCAATCCATTTAATCGCATGGACTTTTTGTGTCATCGTCCATTCAAGCAGTGACAGTAAAACATAAATTAATTAAATGAACATGCTTTTAAAGACTTATTAGTTTGGGCTTTCTTTTCCCATTGCCCAGTCATTTGTACGTACCTTGGTATCTTTCCACGTATTTTTGTATCGCCTGATTGCACTGTCATATAATGTTATCTTAAATTCGTACTGACTTATCGTAATTTCTTATCATTCTTTCGTTTTGTTTTATCTTACTTTTGTACCGCCTTAACATACTGTCATCATATCGTCTTCTGATCGTCTATTCGTACATTCGTATCGCCATGTGGTACATTTGCATGTCTAATCGCACGCTCGTGTCGCTTAATTTTACAATCGTTTCGTCTAATCGTACTTCCGTATCGACTTACGAGTTACAGTGGTAACAAATTTTCATATAATCATATCGTTCATAAATGTTTGGCGAATTAACAATTTTCCTTACGGAACACCGTAGCTCTGAATTGAAATAGTATCGCAGCCTGTGACGTCACCATTATACTTCGTCCGAGCTTATAGCCACGAATTGACCTCTAAGAATGGGGTCATTATTTGTATGTTAATGGAGATAAAGATATTTACCGCCCCGGGCCCCGACCAACCTTGCACTGGATGAAGGACATGTCCCTTCACCGGAGGAGACATTTTTCAAAAACAACCTTACGTATATAAAGGTCCTTTACGATCTGGTTTTCAGTCAGAACATTTCACGTTATTGATTTGAATACATTTCAAATGCTTTTACTAATTTGAATATTATAAGAAAATACTGGTACAACAGAAATACAGTGATTAATCGGCCAGGATTTGCAATTATTTTGACAGCAGTTCTAACTGTATTCTTCTCTCAAGGTAAGAAGATTTTTAACAATTTTTTCCGTTATTACAAGGGAGATAAATAGTACAACTACTACCATTACAATTTGGAATTAGTTGTCTCCCTTTATGTAAAAAAATAACTTCTTGTTTAGTGGAAGGGAAAAAAATTGCTCTATATTCTGTACTTAATCTTTTGAAAATTTGCAATACATTGTCATCTGAATATTTACAAAGAATTGCATGATTTTGAAAAGTTTTGAAGTTGCCTTTTTAGCATAAAATAACGTTGAAAAAAAATGAGTGAGCGTAAATTTATCAAAAATTTGCAGCCTACAACCTTTTACATGCATGATATTGCTATTAGTTTTTGCTTGAATGTGGTGAAACAAATTAGGGCAAGTATGAAAAATATTTTTGCATGATTTCAATTTTCTTCATTTCAGAGCTGAATGCTACGGAATGCCTCTAGGGCCATCGCCTAGGAATGTGTTAATCTGAAACGCAATAGTCGATAGATCGATCGTGAAAACACGAAATCACGAAACTACGATGGTGTAAACGCGATAGTACGATGATGAAAACGCGATAGTACGATGATGAAAACACGATAGTACGATGATGAAAACACGACAGTACGATGGTGAAAACGCGATAGTACGATGATGAAAACACGACAGTACGATGATGAAAACGCGATAGTACGATGGTGAAAACGCGATAGTACGATGGTGAAAACGCCATAGTACATTGATGAAAACACGACAGTACTATGATGAAAACGCGAAATCACGAAACTACGATGGTGAAAACGCGACAGTACGATGGTGAAAACACGATAATTTATCGCGTTTTCATCATCGTAGTATCGTACTGTCGCGTTTTCATCATCGTACTTTCGCGTTTTCATCATCGTGTTTTCGAGTTTTCACCATCGTAGTTTCGTGATTTCGCGTTTTCACCATCGTACTATCGACTATCGCGTTTCAGAGCAACACATTCATAGGCAATGGCCTTAACGGCATTCCGTAGAATGCCGCTCGTATTAGAAGGTTTTTGAATGACCAATTACAAAGTTTACAAGCAATTGATACAGGTAAATGTCTTCTAGAAAGAATAGTTCTACCTAAGTAAAACCTATTTAATACATATTTTGTAATTTTGAGGATATTGATCATGAAATGTGTCGTTCCGTCTACAATGATACCTTTACTGAGCGACACCCTCTGCAACACGACGATTTAGTTCGTTTCGTAGAGTTTGTTGCGCTAGAGAGGTTGAATCATTTATAAATTTTACTTTTGGATAAAAAGGGCACTTTCTTGAAAGAGGTGATTGCTCTACAAAGGGTCGTTCTATTTAAGTTGTAGTATACGTGTTATGTAGCTAGTCATTCATAAGTTATTCATATACTTAAAACTCTTCCGTATGGGTCTTAAATGAGTAGCGCTTAGGACAGTGTAAAATCCCTTTTCTCCATTATTTTTATAATCTATGACTGATGACACGGCGTAATCTATAAATTGTATTCTTGAAAATTACTCCAAAACGATCTAAATTATTATTCTCAGTAGTTGAAAAATAGTCTATTTCAAACAAGTATACACATTTACAATTTAGAAATAAAATTTTACAACACGTGAAATGAATAAAAACGGTACATAACCGAAAGCTTATGCTTTAGTTATATGATGTCATATCCAAGTATATATGTGTTAACATTTGGCAGCGTGTATATGTAGGTACATTGATGTATTAGAAAGTACAGTTACATGTATTAGACTCATTTTTTTATATTGACCATTACAGTATTGTTATTTAAGGACCGTATTCTTGGTCATCGTGGTCAGGATGGTCACACTGCAATGGCACGTGCAAAATAAATGGAGGAGTAGGTCAGCAGAACCGGAAGCGACATTGTAATGACGACGACGATTTAGTCAAGTTACATTTTTGTCGCGAGCCGTTCATGGGTGATTCCGGCGACGAGCAGACGGCCATTGTGAGAAATATTTACGACAATGCTCAGATTATTTTAGAAGACAGTGTTTCCTCCGGAACAGATAACTATGAATTTGAGTATCGGACATGCCAGAAAGAGCACTGCCCAGGTACGTTGTATTTTCCTTCACATTTCTTTATCAAGTCTATACAGAAGTCACTTATTGAATATAATTTTGATACTTTGGACATTTCGGATGAGGTGTTATAGATGGTTTGTACGACTTTGGTACTTGTTGTGGCAGTTACGCTCAGAGCAATTTTTTTTACAATAAAACATATATCATAGAACAAATAACCCATAAAACATATGTCAAAAATGTCGACATATGTATAAATATTTTTTTCCGTTTTTTTCCTAACAAATCTTTCTTAATTTAACATATAAGACCAACTATCATTTCAGTAAACGGCGGCTGGTCACAATGGACTTATTTTGGTGCATGTTCAGTAACTTCCGGAACTGGTCACATGACACGGTCCAGACAGTGTAATAACCCGACTCCGGTACACGGTGGACACGACTGTGTTGGGGTTTCTTCGGAGTCAGCGTCATGTTCAGATATTGATAACTTTTGTGCGACTCTCAATCTGTAAACAATCAAAATTGTATACTGCAATCACTAAATAATAAATTAAGAGGTTTCTCATACAAAACAACTTTTTCGTGCAAAAAAAACTTTCTCATGCAAAAACACAGATTTTAAGCAAGTAAATTAAAAGGATGCGGTTCTTCTTTTCTGGACTTTATTACCTTTGCTGGAAGCATTATTTAATATAAGGTTTTCTTTTTCATTTCCACGAGCCTTCATCAACATTTGGGATATTATTAATTCTTTTTAATCAAATTGCCTTTTTATTCTTTTTTTCGTATGTCCCATGAAAATTTAATACATTGATACATTTTTAATACATTTTTTAATACAAATTGTAGTAAACACATGGAGCGGTTGGAATAACTGGGAATCATGTAGCGTCTCTTGCGGTAGTGGGATGAGAGTACGATCCCGGCACTGTACATCCGGCTCGGACTGTATCGGTAATACACATGATGTTGAAACCTGCACTGGATCACCGTGCACCATTAGTAAGTACAGTAGACAGTAGACTCTTGATTATTTTAAATGATGTAAAAACGTGACAATTATATACCAGAATGTTAAAACAGTCGGTCTTGAAATAGAATCATCAGACACAATTTAGTGATATGTCTTTGAGTGTTTTTCTTCTTTCTTTTTTTTTAAATTCATTAAAAGCATGCTCAGTGTTATTTGAATACTTTTAGAGGTCTCTTTGATTTTAGTCACTTTGTAAAGAAATAAATGCCACTGAATATCAATATAATGTGGCCGCAGATCAAGAATCATTACAAAACACAAAACACTTTTTTAAAAATGTTTAAATATATCAAATATTTAAGAGACAGACACGATCAAACAATATTATTATGTATTTTCTAAGATGGCGGATGGAGTGCTTGGACCGAGTTTGGAGAATGCTCGCGCAGTTGCGGAACTGGCGTTGTATTCAGAAGGAGGCTATGTAACAATCCAAGTCCTCAAAATGGCGGCTTGAATTGTACTGGAAGTGCCCAAGCATTTAAGACATGTTTGAAAAGCGAATGTCCGATCGGTGAGTCAATACTTTTTGAATAGTTAGAACGGCAAAAATGTTTTCGTATTTGTTAAAGTTCGTATTGTTCAGGTAACGACTCATTTTTTAAGCAAAAATTTGCGATATAAATAGAATTTTTTCACCCAAAAATTAACATACTTAACCTCTCACTGTTCTTTCTTTTAAAAGAACGAAATATTTTTAATATTTGATATTTATATAATATTATGTAAATTACACATGCATATATTGCATTATTAGATGGTGGATGGAGTAACTACACAATGTACCAGGATATGCCATGTAGCGCCACCTGTGGTGGTGGAGTAATGACGTCATTCCGTTCATGTACGAACCCAGCTCCTAAATATGGCGGGAAAATCTGCACGGGAGAAGCCTACTATTTCAAGCATTGTAATCTTAGAAATTGCATCGGTACGTTACGTTCTAATATTTGATTGACATATACATGTATATATTTATAAACAAATATCTGATTTTTCATAATTATGATTGTTTCTTACATTATATATACATGTATAAGGAAAGTATGTAACATATTCAGGGTCATTGATTTTTCGATGGCTTTCCAAAAAAAGAAAATAATGGGGGAAGATATCGAAGTTTTTTACACCACCTGACACCGCTGAGTCAGGAAGTCGCCATAATTATGTCCCAAAACGTGAAAACAACCTCGAAATAAGAAGAGAAATGGATTAGCTCGAAAACCTCAATCAAAATGTGTTACAATCAATGTACACGTACATAATTTGTTTCTTTTCTTGACAGTAAACACGTGGTCTGATTGGTCGGAATGGAGCGCGTGTAATTCCACTTGTAATAACGGAAGTAGATCGAGAACGAGGTCCTGCCTGTCGGAAAACGACTGCATTGGAGAATCAAACCAGAGCGAGGCGCGTATTTTACAGCCTTGTCCAATAGGTATAGGTTTTTAGTTTGTACAAAATGCCGGCGGGGACATTTCAACTTCATGAATTCCCGACTTCGCGAATTTACGATTTCAACTTTAAGAATTTACGATTTCAATTTAAATTCACGAATTCGCGATTTCAACACGATTTCAACATCACGAATTCATGATTTCAATTAAATGAATTCACAATTTCAACTTCGTAAATTTTTGAAGATGAAATCGTAAATTCATGAAGTTGAAATCGTGAATTCGTGAAGTTGAAATCGTGAATTCGTGAAGTTGAAATCGTAAATTCATGAAGTGAAATCGTGAATTCGTGAAGTTGAAATCGTAAATTCATGAAGTTGAAATGATGTCTCCATTTTGTTAAGCGAGCTATGACTGAATGTCCCTAGAAATGTTCAGGTATTAACGTTGTTAAAAAGTCTGAGTGACCTTCAACGTTTATTCGTGACAAGTGTTAAAAAAGATTAAAATGTTTAAGTGGGCCGAAAATGTGTTCGCTCGTACTTTCTAAGAAAATTCTCTTGTTTCCACATTTTGTTTCACTATAAAAATATAAATGTTTACATTTAATTAAGAAAATACTTTTATTGTTCAAGTTGTGTTATTTTGCTTTAATCTTATTTTTGGTATAAAAGAAAAATAATAACATTTTCGACAAATGAAATAAATAAAAGTTAAGTTTCTATTTCAACGTTATGAAATCACATATTTTTTTGTCCCTGTGCTTTAAAATGTTATTTTTCTTACAAAGTATGGCACTATTATATCTGTTTTCAGACGGTGGGTGGAGCCATTTCCGTAACGTTTCATGCAGCGTAACATGTGGGCGTGGTCAAGCAATAGCTCTTAGAGAGTGTAATTACCCCGCCCCTCAGTTTGGAGGCAAAGACTGCGTCGGACTTTCACATCAGATAACCGTTTGTGAAATGCCATCTTGCGCTGTTGGTATGTAATATATTCTTTATATTTGTTCATATGCCGGTATATTATTTCTTTATTATTTATACGACATTAACTTAACGAGGTTATGTAACAATCATTAGCTAGTGCTCGTGCGTGAAAGCCGCCAAAAATCTTCCTCACTCAGTACGTGCTACAGAAAAAAAAATCAGATTTTTATTGTTTAAACATTTATACTGCAATAGTAAAAAATGGTATGTTAAAATAGCTTTTAAAAAAAACTAATAAGAAACGTAAAGTTGCGGAGTTTGCCGAAAAAACACGAAAGATTTGACCGAAGGATCACACTTTATCGCCGTCAACGGCATAAAGTGATCAATTATAGACATATACTATTAAACAGAGATACTTTGACACACACTGTAAAAAGATAACAGACAAATAAAACTTTTAAATATCCACAGACGGTGGTTGGTCAGAATGGTCAAATTTCAGCCGGTGCGGATCAGTGTGCGGAGATGGGTACACAACTAGAAACAGGACGTGTTCGAATCCAGCACCGCAGAATGGAGGTAACAATTGTACGGGAAGTCACGAGGAGAGATCCAAATGCAATAGTGGACCGTGTTCTAAAGGTGAGTGTAAAGTGAAAAGTCTGAAAGATAAGTGTTTGAAATTACTTCCTATGTAATAGTATTTTGGCATTTCAAATTAATCAACATTTAGGTTGATGAATCGGTTACTTATTTATCAGTTTAAACCCCAGTCACACTAGAGGTTACGATTACTTGCGACCACCGGCGACTTATAAAACTGACGATCATCAGCGATTGTCTGCGACCAAAACCATTTTTGCACAGATAAATTAGACTGTTAATTTACCTATGCTTGTATTTAGAGAAACCTGTTTTATTTTGTACATGTAGCCAGTTAGTTTTTTTAATGCATATATGTATCTTCAATATAATTGACATAACGCCGCCTGTCAATCAAATAAGCAGGGGTCACAGAGATAAGCCAATCGGCGATCGTTATCAGTTCCACGCTAAGATACCTGCGAAGTCCGCCATTTTCCTAAAACCCCAGTCACACTAGAGGTTACGATTACTTGCGACCACCGGCGACTTGTAAAACTGACGATCATCAGCGATTGTCTACGACCAAAACCATTTTTGTACAGATAAATTTACGTTTGCGAGTATCGTAAGATAAGTCATCATTGACAATTGTACGACAGGTCATAAGTAAACGTACGATGGTCTCAAGATTGCCTGGGAATACTTACGACTACCCGTGACATAACATGCGATCACCTACAACTTGTCCTACGACCATCACACGATTACTACAGACTACTTAGGATTATCAGTGACTAGTGGCAATTTGTAAAGAATGTCGTAAGATTGTCGCACTTCCGAACGACCATCGTGCGACAGCTTTAAGACCTTATAAGATCACTTGCGACCTGTTTGATCGCAAGGAGGTTTTTGTGCAAGCTCAAAAACCTTTCTACGACTGAAATTGGTCGTGGGACCTAAACAAGATAACCTGCGACTGCCAAAGATCACCGATGACCGTCGTAAGACGTTTTAAAGATTGTCCGCGACCAGAGGTCACTGGTGATCGTGAACTGGTCTTCACTGGTCGTAAGCTCTAGTGTGACTGGGGCTTTAGACAAGCCACTAATTCTTGTCTAGGACAATTGTGCAGAAGTAATTTAGATTGAAATTATTTTAATCTTTTGTCAATTTAAAGCTTTTTTATCAATATATTCATTAAAATTAAGTTACCAAATATACTGACATAATTGACAGGTCGCAAAAGTCGCAAAAATGTCAATAATTTTCTACATGTGAAATAATAAGTACGAAATATTTATCCTGGCTATATTATATAACACAATGCATTGAAAAATGAAATGTTTAAACAAACCCTTTTATTTCCATTCTAATAATAATTCATAATCACATAACATATTATAAGGTCCAAAAATATCCAGAAGAATTTCGTTTACAACGTATAGCCTCAATAAAAACGCATGAGTAAATACAATAAAAATTTGGGTGAAATTTTCTAACCAGGATATTTCTATTAAAGTTCAATAAATTAACATTAAATATTCAAATAGATCTGTATAATACAAAACTAATACCAATGAATCATGTCTGATCAGATAACAAGTATGTGAAGCTTACTTTAAAGAGAATAACGTTGTGTTTTGTCCTGAATTATATCAAATATATGTTAACAATACATAATCACATGTCTGACATAAAAAGTAAGCAAGAGCATGCAATTTTTGAATAAATTTTAAAACAAATTAATGTATAATCTAAACTGAATTTAACATAAAAGCCAAAAATGATTTTAAATTTATTTTTGTCACTAATATAACTTTACTGTTTATGTTTCGCTACTTCAATTTCTAAATAAAACGATCATAACATAAACATATACTTTTCTACATATTTGAATAATTTGAATTTGTAAGATATACTGATATTTTGTCAGTTTTAGATTTTCATTGAAGTCAACAAGAAATAATCTTTGCGTTTAATACCAGAGTGCGAATAGTTTTTTCTTTCTATTATTGTTTATGTTTAAACGAAATCTTGCTATCTATCCTGTCATATATGTTTGTGTAAATATCATTTGTTATCTAGGGAGAGTAACTTTATAAGTTTTCTTTCATTCTAATCCCTTTCAATTTCATGTAACAATTATAAACATATACATGTAAAATGTAATATAGGTAAAATATTGAAATGAATATGTTTAAACTAATGCAGATATTATTTTGTTACTTTTCTAAAATACCATAATACATTTATACATTGAATAATACCTATATCTACTATTCAATAAAACGATTAAGAACATCAAAATTTTATATAAACATAAATAATATAAGGTAACTTTATTGGTACCATTAGTGGCATAACTGTTTTGCGAATACATCGGTACCGTATTTTGTCTAAGGTTCTTACTGACCAGGTCACGTGAATCAGTGGGCGGAGCGATCCCTTCTCTGGCGTAATGTCAATTACCATAAACCGTTTCTCACAGTGACGATTTGGGGAAAACAGTGAAATTTTTATACAGCTAGCTGTCATCCTTAATGAATTGATGTTTTATTTTTATAGACCCACAATGATTTTCCGCTTAGCAGATGTCTGTCAAAATAAATCCCCATTTAAAAATGACTGCACTGATACATATTTCTATAATATTATGTGCTCAAAATATTGCCAAATTTTACTTTAATGTTTATTTGATAAAATTAGCTTTTTATTTAGTTATATGTATAAGGGAGACAAATGCGCAAATTTGTATTTATGCATGCATTACCGAGTTGTTTCCCTTAGTTTTACAGATATAGTTGATTTAATCATACTAAATACAATTATATTGATAATAGGTTGTATAAATGCAGCACAAACAATGTGATCTAGTGGACTACCTTTTCTTGCATGTTTAAGGCAGTGATCCACATAAGTGAAAGCTTATACTGTCAAGATAAAAATGTTCAAAAAAAAACAACAGTTAAAACATTAATATATATTATTGATACGTTTGATCGCATGTATTTTAAGTTGCCATAATAATGGCAAATATGATATTCCAATTAATTTGAAATATTCTAGGGAAAACTTGCGCTTAAATGGTGAATTGCTGGTGAATTACGTGCTGATATACACCGGAAGCATTTATATCAGCAAAACAAACATAACAAGAAAGAAAGAAAAAAAGAAAGAAAGAAAGAAACAAAGAAACAAAGAAAGAAAGAAAGAAAGAAAGAAAGAAAGAAAGAAAGAAAGAAAGAAAGAAAGAAAAAAAGAAAGAACAACAGACAGAAATAAAGAAAGAAAGATTATTTTGTTTGAATTTCTTAAGATAATCTTAATAATTATCTTTTCAATTTTCTCTTTTAGATATGCCAATATGCAACACGGTCAATGTTCTTGAGGATTTGAAAAATCATGCACTATATGCACCAACGAGGGCTTGTCCGTGTAGTAATATGGACTTTATACCAGAGGAAAATATGATGAAAGACCTATGTGGAGCCCCTGCAGACTAAACCACGTGGTAACCAAGTCAATCTGTAACGATAAAACTTGAAATAATTATCACAATTTTAACAAATATAAAAATGAAAAAGAAAAGATAAATCAAAAAGTTTCTTAATTCTGTATCTACTGGCATAATATATATTGTCATCTTTTGATATACAGCCAAACCTGTGACCAAAGTACATCCAAATAAGAGACCAAACATAGCCTTTATATCAGGCGGCCATTTTGAAATGTTTTTCTATGCACAATACATTCTGGTATCCTAGTATCGGTTATATTAGGTTACCACGTGACTTTAAAACATCCAATAAGGGCAGAATACAGTGAAGTCGAATATAATGTCAGTTCCACAAGAGAATTTTTTTATATTTCAGATAAGAACAACTTGCTCACAAATCCCCCTTTACAGCCCTATAATGAAACTGCACCGCGAATGGTAAAAAAGTTGATTAATTTCAATAACTGATAAGTAATTTAAGAACTAATTATATGCACGAATCGTTTGCGTAAGAATACATGTAGCAACAACAAATTATGTTACATACAAATTAGTGATAATTTAAATCCGCGCGCAACATGTGCATTTTTATTTATAGATCATGTTCTATTTTTAGATTGCGACAGAGACATGTGAGGACGGTGTACACGAACAACTTATAAATTTAGACGTTGACGATAAATGGGAATATTATACCATGAAATGGAAGCAACATTAAAAAATTGACCGATTGCTTATACATGACTTTAAAATCTTTTTACATAGTTTATTAATTTGATATTGTATATAAAGTTTATATTTTTAATATGCCAGTATATATGTGTACCTATTGATCTCATTTTTATGTTTTAAGTAAATAAAATATGTGTTCATGTCATGAATTACGTCATTTTTGCTGTTCTCTTTGTATAGGAACCCTCCAAAAAGGAATAACCTTGTTTAAGCAACAATATTAATGTATTTTTTTTTAAATAAAGGTCTTAAAGATCCTGTATGGTGTAATTAAGGTTGTAACCACATTTAAATGAAATTTTATATATGTATATGATTATCCTTTTGCAACAATTTTCAAACATTGAAGAATATGTAGAATATGTACTGCAAAAAATTGTTCACATCATATGTAATAATTAAAATATATGTATTAATTTCTTATTGAAAAATTTGACTCAGACTTTACAGAAAATGAGTTTCTAATTATCTCCCTTTATTAGCATGAAATGTAAATTCGGGAAAATCTTCACAAATTACGCGTTTTACAATATTGATAAGTCTTCATTTGAGCATTATGTTTATGTGATTAAGCCATAAAAATTGAGTTACAGGATCTTTAATATAAATTTTACTCCTTTAAATCATCACCATCTCGCAGAAACCGCCCAAATCTTTTAATTTTTTACTATTCGATGAAGCTCTGAAGATGTACCCGTTGTAAGGGTACGTTTGATTCTTAAATTTTCTTTTCAAAGAAATTTAATCAGATATATGACGCAAAGCGTTCGGTTTAATCTGTAAGGATTTAATTAATTCCTCAGTGCGATTAAGATACAATGACACAAAGAGGTCGACATGACCTTACCGAAATGTCAAACTTCCTTTTTCGTGTTCTTGTAGAATCGCTTTTTCATAATATTTGGTTTGGTATGCGGAAGAAACGATATGAAAATTTCTTTTAGCATTGCCAAAAAAAAAGGGATTTACTTTTTTTTGTTAAGAACGTAATTACCCGTGGTGCTCGTTTTAAAGGATTGATTTTTAATATGTATTAAATCACTGTTGGCGAAAATAAGATGTTAAAATTGTAAACAAAATTAAAAGATAAGGTTGGTATGTAAGTGTACAATGAACATGACACATGGATCAAAGGCCGTGTACTCATGCTTTTTTGTTCTTGTATTTTTTTTCTTTCCGTACATGATGAATTGACGTCAGGGCAATGTGTAAGAACTAATAGATTTTGGACGGTGAAAAAAGCTCTTACCGTTGTTAAATAGTATAGAAAGAATAACAATTATAGCAGTATAAAGAATTGCGTAATTCACTTATTACACACTATTGAAAAGCTATGAAATGCGATGAAAATATCAAATTAAAAGTAGAGGAATAGAAAACAGGGTTTTTGACCTTTCGCTTTCCAGTTCCGTCAAAAGATGAAAATGATATTAAACTTTGAAGACAACACAGCCCCCACCCCGGATTGATTTTTTAAGCTTCAAACGGAATAATTAGCTTAATCTGTGGAGTAAAGAATATGGGAGATACCCTTCCATGCCTATTTAAAGCCCTTAAGAGCGTTAACTCTTATCCGTTTATAAGAAGTGCCTGAATAATATCCTCACATGAAAATATCCTGAATTCGAGTTAATTATTATTTGAGCTCAATGCGGTACGGACAAGACGGAACTTTGTCAACTCGGTCAAGGAGCCCCGACCTACCCCAACCCCCATCCTCTTCACACACAAACAAAGGTTTCCCATAATGTTAAGAAAAGTGAAACATTGCCACTTTAAAGATTTTTTCCTAAGAAAAACATGAGACATGCGCAATAGAAAAAAACAAAGTACGGGGAAAAAACTTAAAATAAAAATTATGTACTCGTACAATTAAATAAATCAAATATAGGATTAATAATTATATTGGCTGAAAAGCCAAAAACTTGCAATTGAAACGAACGCACTTTTAAATCACACGTAGTTTCAATTCAATACATAGAAGAAAATGACACGGTTGAAAATCGCACCAAAACTCATCGCGGTTAAATATTCATAGGATTCGGTGAGTTGTAAGATGATTTAATTCAATTTATGTAGAATACCGGGAAGTACCTTTATAAAAATAAAACATATAAGTTTATGCCCATGTCATGGATTAAAAGGTAAAATCCCGGTCATTTTTCGAGCCTTTTTTGACAAATGAAGTGGTAACGAACAAATTGATTTCAATAGATATATAGGTTTGTTTTTGTAGAAGCATGGGGCTAAAACATCCCCGGACTCCCTGGTCTGTTTATGTTCTTCTTTATAAGAGAAAACATATTAAGTATTTTTAACAGCCCTGCAATTTTTAAGTGTAAAAGTTTTCTTATTAATGTAAAAATGTAAACTTTATAAACTGTGTACAGGAAAAGGCATCAAAAGTCTTGCATGTCTAAGAAAATAAGGTTGACTAGAGTTTAACATCCCAGCTTCCATGTTCTAATTTTCAGGAAAATACGAGTATAGCGACACTTTTTAAAATGATCATCTCAATCTCATCATAAGCCAGCATTTAACTTTTTTTCTGCACTAAGGCACTCGGAAAGAGTAAGGAGTTTGTTTTTAGTTCATGATCTGCTAGGCTTAAGTTTCTGAACCTGTGCCTGAGTGTTCTACGCAAATATTTCAGGTTAACGTCAAAATGACCAAAAATGGTTGGATTCTAGCAGTTCGACGCTTTATAAGAAAAATGCAAAAGCGACAGTGGCGGTTCGGAAGCAATTGCATTTTTTGTCAATGCTAGTTTCAGGTAATTGGTATCTAAAGGAACAATGGGTGCGTAAACAAGTCAAGTTCATGATTATAAGCTCAGTCGCACTTGGGCCACTCTGTCGGACCATGGCTTAAGTCCTGCAATAAACTCGATACCGTTCCATTCCCTTGCTTCCTGATCAAGTAATTTTATCCTAATACCGATCGAAATTATCGATCTGGAAAATAATAATAATGATCTTAATTCTTATTTACAGCATTGATCCTAGTTTCTGCAGAGCTAGATCAATATTAGGATAAAATAACTTGATAAGAAAGCAGAATGTGAATACAATTCTATATTTGTTACTCTTAATTCTTAATTTGTATCTAAACAATTCTTTATTATGGCCTTAAAGTCTCTTCGAATCATTTTACCACACTTTAGCAGCTGCTTTTTCTGAAATCTCGCAGTTAGGATTTTCAAAACTTTTGTCTTGTTTTCAATTTATTTTCTTTTTTTTTCATTCTCATTTAACATTTTAATATTTCAAAAATACCTTTCTTTTCTGTTGAAATGAGTTTAATAATAGGCAGAAATTTTAACCTTTTTTTGCATATATATTTGTCACAATCTTATTGAATGACACCGCACGGGAGGTGTGATATTACTTTTATACATGAAAATATTTCACTGGTACTTACAAAGGTATTAAATCTGGTTTACTGAAGAGGGTAATTTTGCATGACGTGAATATGCAAATGAGATAGGCGATGCGTTCAGCCATGAAAAAATATTTAAACTCATTGAATATATAAGTTTGAAACGATACGAAAATTTAGTTAATCTTAATATATATATACCAAATATATTAAATGCAGCAAGCTAGAATTATTTACATTAAAATTTAGTCATATATTTGAATGCATTTGATGTTTCGTATTTTCGGGATTACAAAAAATCTCAGGGAACTGTTATGAATCATTTACTCATAACTTGGTGTGCGTGCACGATAATTACAACCGGAAGTGCCTTGCATGCGTCGTACTTTCAGGACCTGCAAGAAATCGGTGAGATTTTCTTTTACTTGTTTTTTTTTCATAGCATTATTTTATAAAGTTATATCAAAGCATTCCAGCGTTGCTGATTAGGTACATCGTTAGATTAACTGGCCTTGGAGTCATGGATCCGAGTTCTGAGCAATGGGTTCGCGGAAACAACCTTCAAATGTTACAAATCACTTGCCTTTTTTAACCTTTAGAGAATTATTAAATAAATTAGCTGCGTATTGAAATGATACTTTATCGATAAGTGGAAAAACTTATCTATGCTAGCACAGGACACTGTTTTTTGTTTTCGTTTATTTTCTACCCCCAACCCCTTTCTCCTCCCTCCCCCCCCCCCCCAAAAAAAAAATAAATAAATAAAATAAAAAAAAATAATAAATAAATTGGGTAAATGAAAAAAATATGATTCTTTCTTGAATATTTAATCCAATAACCCATACACATCACATTAAAATTGATGTATGTATTTATACAATATATAAGAAATAAATGGCAGTTACTTTCGCATCAAATAAAACTCATTATCGAAGGTCTTTTTCAATATACCATTTTTTATCATTTAAGATTGTCATAAAGTTACTTTAGTCAAAGAGGGTGGTAATAAACGATAACTGATTTTTAAATTACTTTTTTTTAAATCTTACCACAAATTCGTTAAAATCAGATATAAAATATGGATATCTCGGTGTCGCGTGAAAATCACACGAGTGTGACCGGGTCGTAACTGTTCATTATAAAGCTTGTTGTATAACAAAATATAACGAAAATATAAAACTTTACAGTTGTTTTATTTTACTAACTTACAGATAGAAAATAATAAATAAAAAATGTTGTTGTTTACACTTAAAAATTCAATAGAGTGGTCATGAAATACATATGCCTTGACAATCAAGACCATCCGCTATTAAGTCACTGTGACTTTATGTATGAAACGTGAAGTAAAATGTTGTAAATGCCCTTTTAACCATGGATAATGAAAGGCAGCAAGGTGGAATATTGCTTGCTTGCATGCAGTTGCAGCACGTTTACGACTATTTAGAATGAGTAATCGCTGGTATATGAAGCACGATATCAGCGCAGTGTGAACGCCGCGAGAACGCCGTGTAAGCGCCGTGGTAGCGCAAGGAACACAGTAGAAGCGCAGTCCGAAGTGTCGGACGCATACAATCGCCAATAAAACGCCAGATGAACGCGTTATTATGCCGTGGAAGCTCAGTAGCAACGCCATGATCGCCGTGAGGACGTTGTGAAGTCTCCATGTCATCAAAAATATCAAATTTTTCTTAGGATCTCGCAGCGC